TTTAAGAATCCCCTGAATTTAAGATATTGTTTGAAGATTTCTAAATTCAAAAATATTTTTAATATTGATAGAAAATTATATTTCAAAATGTTATTGAAAATTATATTTATAAAAAAAGTCATCCAGCAGGATCAATATAGATTCCTCACCATTTCTATCGAGTTTATGATTACGTCAACATTTTTTTTTAAATTTAATAAATTAATAATTTCTTTTTAAAATAAAATCTACGAAACAAGTCGTTTTTTAAACATACGCTAGTCAAAGATTATTCCTTGATACCGGAATAATAAAATACGAATGGATTTTTTTTTAATCATACGTTCCGTATTGAGGAAGAAAAAAATTTGTGAAATACAAATATATAGACGAAAAGTACTTAAACAACTATATCCAAATGATTATGCAGTTCATCTACTCACCAAATAACATAATTCGATCAACTCAAGTACTGTCAATAGCGGACTATACTTTGCTTTAATTTCCCTGTCAGAGTATTTTTTTTTTTCGCTTCACTTACTTTTTTCGCTCCGTGATTCTGTTGTAATAGCTACGTAACCCTGAAGTTCCGAAGACGTTTGAATACTTTCGATGAATGATGAGTTCGTTAACAAATAGTAAAGTAACCATGACAGGACAACATTATTCATTTATGTTTCTGGACTAAATTTGACTAACTTCATTGTAACATAACGAGATGTTATGAGTTATGAGGTGTTTAGGGTATAAAAAAAGAAAAAAAGTTTCATCTACTGTAGTCCTTTCTATCAAGAAAGTAAGGAAGTATTAACATATATTCAAATAATAATTTCCAAATTTAAAAAAGAATATATTAATTCTAGAAGTAGATTAAATTAACTAGAGTTAATTGTTAAACTATCGTTAGCATAATAGGATCAGTCCATACCACATCACTCAAAATAAAAATAATGTAAGACATTAACCTTCCCATTTTCAGTGAATATAAGATAAAGAAGGCATGGAGTATGTAATATTTATTTAATCAACTCTCCTTCTTTGGGGTTACGAAAAAGAGTATGAAAATATATTAGTTAATTTTTTTCATACGCTTTCGGAATATGGAAGAGTCTTTTGTGCATTATTTACAAAGTACTTTATTATCTTTCAGGTTTATGTATATATTTGAAAGTAATAAATAATTGCATAGTGATTTGAAAGATTTTTTTTATTCTAAAACCGTTTTATGAATCACTCCAAGAATTATTACCGATCTCAATATTTGTCAGAAAAATAAGATATAAGGGGACAAATCAAATTATAAGGCCTATATGTTGGTGGCTCATGTGCCTTCTCTCTATCTTCATTGCCTTTCAGTCCAGTGACGCAGCTGGAAGAGAAGCGCTGGGACCTCGTGGAGCCATGCTTTGCCTTCCACACGTGGAGGACAAAGCCTGACTCGGAGTCTCTTGTGCAAATATAAATATTATATAATGGTTTGAATGAGTTTTAGAAAAAATTTATTAATTCATTAAATCTTGTGTTTTTCCATTTAATTACCTTCATTTATTTTTCTTATACGTATGGAGTTATATATGGAGTTAGCAAATAAGATCTTTCGGTTTTTCAGGGTGAAATAAAACTCAATGTACTATAGACATAAAATTCATTTTAATCTACAATATATTGACCATTATTTAATATGACCTTTTTCCATCTTTCGACTAACTGCATAATGCCACGTTCATAAAATATCTGGAGTTTATTGTTTAAAAAATGATCCAAGTGGTTTTTGATGTCCTCTCCCTTTTGGAGTTCTGCAGAGACCGAAATAAGTGGCAGTCACTTAGAGCTAGGTCTGGTGAATAGGGTGGGTAGGGCAAAAGGTCCCATCCAAGGCTCAATAATTTATTGCGAGTGACCAATGAGGTAAGGGGCCTAGCGGTGTCTTGTTGAAACACAACACCCTTACGAATTGCCAGTTCTGGGCGTTTATTTTTAATTGATTGAAATTTTGTTAATATGGAGATTAGAGTTAATATGGAGATAGATTAATATGGAGATTGCTCTAGAGCAGTATAGAGTTGAATCGATTGTTTGTCTTGATGGTAATAGCTCATAGAAAATAACACTCCTGAAATCCAACCATATGGAAAGCATTATCTTCTTTGGATGCAATCCGGCTTTTGACATTCTTCTAGGAGCCTCACTACTAGGTAATCACAAGATTTTCTACGGACTACATTATCGTAAAATATCCATTTTTCATCTGCTGTTATCAACCTTTTCAGAAACAGATCGTTTTGTTGCCGTTTCCTTAGTGAATCACAAACGGAAATACGTGTTGCCAAGTTCACTTCGATTAGAGAGTGAGGGACCTAAACACTAAGTCTGGAAACATAGCCGAGCTTGTGCAAATGGTTTTCTACGCTTGTGAGCGACACATTTAGCGCCATAGCAATCTCTCGCACTGCTTGGGTGAGATTTTGATCAACAATGGCCTTAACATTGCTAATTTCAATTTCATGTGGGCGACCAGACCGTTGAATATCATTGGTATCAAAATTTCCTGAATGAAATTTTACAGGTGCGTTCAGTTAAGGCATCGTCTCCATAAACACTGGAAATTTTTCTATGAGCTTCTGCAGCACGCTTACTTTTTTAAAAAATAATACAACAAAACATGCCGATAATGAATGATATTTTCTTTCATATTCTCAGTGCAATAGCAAACAAAATACTGAGCTAGTTTCAATCAGAGTTAACAGAAAAAGTTGTTGACATATTACAAACAGGACAAACAATCCACCTTAGGGATTAATTCATCAGGTAAGAAGTGCATCATAGTGACACATAAAAATAAACAGAAAAACCGAGAGGAATTATTTGCCAACCCAATATGTATTTTATGACTGGATACTTTTAGCTATGATGTTTATTGTCCTTGAATATAGCAGATTGTGTTAATATTCAATAAATATTACAAAAAATATATATATTAAAAAACTGTGAAATTAAGATTTCTGGGCGTTAACTACTGGAAGAAGGTGGTGAAACATGATAACATATTTATTACTGATTAAAAATTGTTTCTTATTAAATTGATGGATAAATTTCAGCTGATTATAAAGTAGTGGCTAGTATATTTTACTTCGTTTTAATCCTGGAAAATATTGTTTTTGAAAATGTATCAAGCGCTCTGAAAAAAATGGTAATCAGTTGGAGAAACGTCTGATAAATATGGTGAGATCTACCGTCTCAAATAGACAGAGGAATCTCGTGTTGAAAGAATGAACAGAGGAACAGGGAATAAACAGATCAAGAAGTTAAGAAGGTTTTTTTTTTGTTTTTTTGCAAAGGTTCGCAAAAAGAAATACCTAGGAAATATTGCCGTCGGGAAGCTGGTTAGAGCCACTTCAGCTCGGCTTACCAGCTGAAAACGTGGGAACGCCTAGGTTCTAGAAAAATGAATCTAATGAGGCAATTCATTAGTCTCTTCAATATGATCTCGAGCCCACCAGACAGTCCACCGTATACAAGGCAGCCATAATGGAAGTGAGGGAAAATGAGAGAGGAAACTAGGGCTTTTAGACTAAAAAAAGCTGACGGGTTTGTAGGGGCGAAGAATCCCGGAATCTTAGGAACTGTTTTATGGTAGCAATAGATTCTCAGATAATTTGGGAAATATGATTGTTCCAGGAGAGGTATTGATCGAAAATTACTCCCAGATTTCTAACGAAATAATGGAAGTGAATAGGTATTCCATTGAGTAGAGAATAATAAGGGATGGAATTGATAAGATGCTTGGAACAAATAAGAATGAGTTTGGTCTTCTCAACGTTCAACTTTAAATCATTTCTCGCTGTCCAAGTGGTAATATCATCTATATCTTCATGTATCCGTAGTATCGTCTCAAGCACCTCAGTAGGATGGATGAAAAGGTATATTTGATGGCAGTCGGCATAAAGGTGGTATTGTGAATGATGGATCGAATTAGGAAGGTCGTTGATGTAAATGGAGAAAAGAGTTGGAGAGAGCGAAGATCGCTGCGCGACACCACGAGCTAGTAAGAGGAAGGAGTTTTATCGGGAATGACTGTTTGGGATCTGTGATACGAGAAGGAATGGAACCACTTAGGACGCTATTTGATATTTGGAAGATTTTGGAGTTTGGAAAGAAGCATTTTATGATTAGCCGAATCGAAGGCTTTTGAAAAATCAAAGAGGACTAGAATAGAGATTTTCTTTTTATTTATGGAGAATTGAAGGCCTCTTGGGTGATTTAGATTGGGTGGAGAACTGGGATCGGAAACCAGACTGTAGGGGATTGAGAAGAGCATTTCGCTCGAGGAAGGTACTTAACTGAGAGTGGACTAGTCTTTTGAGACGTTTTGAAAGGTTGGAGAGATCTTAACTGATAAACATGTTACATTATTTGGTCTGAAAATTAAAGTTCTATCAAACCCATCATATTTCCCTGACTCGTCTTTAGTTTTTTTTTTTTAATATAAAATGGTATCGTTGAAGTTTATTTTTCATTTATTTTCCACACATCAACTGATCTCTATTACTGAAAATTATGTAAGGCATTGTCAGATTTTTTTTTTTTTTTAAAGAAGAGATTATAGTTTTTGTTTTGTCTCTGATTCATGAGTAAAACTGATAAAACTAAAAACCATTCGAGTACAAGCCCATGAGCAGAGGCGCCCGCCCATTCCTCCTTCCTCCTCTCCCCTTGGTCAATGGAGCAAGAGCTTACCCCCTCCCTTCCCAAGATATTTTGTTGCTCACTTTTTTTTTAAAAACAGAGCAAGGTAAAGTAGAATTAGAAAATTACTGCGGTCTGTTCCAAGTTTTTCTCTAGTCTTATATTCTGAAACTTTTCATTCCGAAAATTTATAACCCCATTGAAATTTGCCTCCCTCAAAAATTCAAAAACCCTTTAAAATATGCCCTCTAACTTGCGCCATAAAACCCACTTTTGGGCACTCCAGGCCATGAGTGATATGATATTACCTGATCCTGTTAGTAAAATGTTTTTACCAGTCGACGAAGAAATGTTGATCTATGAACAATGTTCCGACCGAATTCTTCGATCCATGGGCACCAAACGAACGGCTCCGAACAGACAAGAAGTTGCAAGCCGTCAAGATGTTCATGAAGGTCATTTTCAACTCCTAATACTGTTAAAAGATTATTATTGAAATCTTAAATAAATTAAATAAACACTATTTTTTATTCTTATTTTGATATTACGAGTTATTATAAAATTGAATGTTATGTAAAATTATAAAATAGAAATTTATTTGGGATTGTACGGGTGCACGAAAGCAAATACATAAATTGTATGAAATTGGTTTTGCCTTGCTTCAAAATCAATAAGAAGTTACATTGGCTAAATCAAAATTGGTCTATAACGCCGTAAACTGGTTATTTCTTCTCTTTTATAGTTCGTACGAAATGTGACATATTTAGTTATAGAATTAAATATATTATTGTTAATAATATCAGGAATTAATAATTTCATATGTCATTTTGCTATAATATATTATTTTAATATAATAATTTTTACTAAAACAAATTCTACATGAATTTAAAGAAAATTTAGTCTAGTTTAGTACATTGCAACAGCTAATTATTTAAATTAAATATTTTTTTAGCTGTCGCTTCCTATTTGACAAAAAAAAACGAGCCTTATATAAAAGATAACAAAAACATTTTTTTTTTTTGCAAGGAAATAAAATACATGGTCCCGTGTATATAGATTTTTTTTATAGCTTTTGAGGTATGTTTTATCACTCCTATAAATATTCCACATTATGTATGGGATATTCTGAATAATGTGACTATAGAGATGGAATAATAACGCAATATATAGGAAGAAAAATAGAATTAAAATATAAAAAGATATTTAATTTTTAAAAAGTCTTTACACTCATCGATATTATCATAACCTCATACTTCACATTATGGTTAAGAGAGAAGAATCCTCCTCCTCCCAAAAAAAAACAGAGTAAATAAAAATGAGTTTATAATCCACATAATTATTGGACAAGGAACAATACTATGTTATATATAGGGCAGTGAGATGAGCTCTCAATTATTTGATACTTCAAATTCACCACGAGAAATGTGATAAACCTTCGCGTAAATAAGAATTATTCTGTTGATCCTTTACTCATCAGTTGCTTAAATTAATTCTCATAGAAGCTTGTGTGTGAAGACAACAGAGGAGGTTATTAAATCTATTTATGTAAAATTTTAAATTTATCAGAATTTTTAGGTATATTACGTGAACATTTTTCTTATATTTACGTCAAGCAAGTGCGATTCTTTACATAAAAACGCTAAATTATTACTTTAATTAACAAGGAAAAACTGTTGTAGCTAAACAGCATAATTAATTTTAATAAAATGACTTCTTCAGGATTCATTCCACAAGGAATTTTATGGACGTTTATGGTATACTGAAAATGGTGGCTTATTGAGAAACTTTAGATAAAATTTGCAACACAATGTAAATTACGAGAATGTATCGTGTTCATGCTTATGCATCCTTATATATTAAATAGTGATTCTGTTTACCAAGAGTGTTCCAACAGCTGCTTAAGTTTGTATAGAGAAACTTATACGCCTTAATATAAATAAGTAGCTATCTGGTAGTAAATTGTTGTAAGAACAAGTGATAAAAGGCCGCAGTAAAAAATCACACCATTATACTGAGAGAATATAGTTCAAATCCCGTTGCTGGGGACTTTTAACTCTGATGTAACTCTCCCACCCACTTCTCTGGCCCAGGAAAACTCCGTATATTCTAAAAAACGAGAATAGGAAGAAAATAAAGAAAAATGAGAGAAGGTAAAGGTTTCATGCTAAGCAACAGGACCTTGGAGATAACACGAATATCTTAAACTCCAGATGCAAAGTACCGTAGACGGCTAAAAATGTATTTGTCAATCACAATGATGCCCAACTGCGGAGGAATATCGGTCTCTACGTCACGGAGTTTCATCTAGTAACTGAGCAAAACGACCCTTACTACAAAGCTTTTCTGTACCGGTAGAACACTGCTGTGGAATATACTTAGACCTTATAGGAAGAAGACCTGCTCATGGAGAGCAAAGCGAACGAAGCCTGTCTTCGTATACTTCAAAATAATTGGACCAAAGACTAATAACATCTTTCTCGTTGAATGTTTTCAATTATGTTTCTAGCAGAGATGATATTCAAGAAGCAATTGAATTGAACATCAGCCGGCAGTTCAAACATCTACCTGTACTTTCAAGCTGAACGATCTGTCGCTGAAGAGCAGAAGATCGAACTAAAATTATCTAATCAAGAAAGTCTCTTTGATGGTTATGAATATCTAAACAGTAATTCTCAATAACAGTTTTCTCTAAATGGAAGATAAACTGTTAAGTCTTATAATAATAATTTTAAGATATTAACAGGTGTGTACGTCGTATAGAGGCCCGAGGGTCTTAACCGAGCTCATTCCTATCTTTTTCCTCCACGACCAAAAAGATAAAGATGCCACCAAGTGGCTTCCTTGGAAAAGAAAGAACCTAGTTCTCAAGCTTCCACCCCGCAGCAGGAGGTAATCAGAAAACTGGGATCATACTACTGGGGAGCTTCTAACTCACGACCACTACGTCTGCTACCTGAGTACCACAAAGCGGCCCCGCCCACCAGCCCCATGTATTCATTGCCTATTGACAAACCACCAGCCCGTAGTATCATTTTTGTACCTATAGCCCTGGAGCCAGGGCCCAAAAATCGACCTGATCACAGACGAAGGTTTGATTGTAAATTACGAAAGTGTATGTTATTCTGAGTATAAAAAATCTTGTCTGCCGTTCCGGAGCCGCTGCTTTCAAAAATGGCGGCTGATTTAAAGAATATTAGGCCAATAATTTGAGGATCGAAACGGGAAATCCATTGCGAAAAATGTGAGAAAAATTTATATTTTTTTAACTTGTATATCTGGGTTTAGACATGTAAAAAACAAAATTTCTAACGCAGGCCACCAAGGGAAAACTTTTTACTGCCAAACAAGTCAGATTTTTTCGACATTTTTTGTGTTTTTCATCTACAACTCCTAAACAATACATCAAACCGAAAAATGTGTTCTTTAATAAATTAAAGAACGTTAAATTTTGCGTCAAACGAGTACATAAACTTTAAAATTTGGTTTCGCGGTAAGGTATAAAACCTCGGTCAACCAAGGTTGAGTTTTACCAAATCTGTCAAAAACTGAGACAAATTACTATAAATGGCCCTGTAACTTGGAAATGAGTTCCCTAAGAGGAAAAACCCATAGAATCAAAGTTGTTGAGCATCAAATTTTGCGTATAATAATAATAAATTATATATTTATTATAATAATAATATATATATTTTTATAACTCATTTCCAAGTTACAGGGCCAATTATAGTAATTTGTCCCAGTTTTTGGTAAATTTGGTAAAACTCAGAGTTGGTTAACCGTGCTTTTATACCTTACCGCGAAACCAAATTTTAAAGTTTATGTACTCGTTTTACGCAAAATTTAACATTCTTTAATTTATTAAAGAATATATTTTTCGCTTTGCTGTATTGTTTAGGAGTTATATGTGAAAAACCCAAAACATATCGAAAAAATCTGACTTTTTTGGCGGCAAAAAGTTTTCCCTTCGTGGCCAACGTTAGCAATTTTGTTTTTTACATGTCTAAACCCATATATAAAAGTTGAAAAAATAAAAACTTTTCTCACATTTTTCGCAATGGATTTCCCGTTTCGATCCTCAAATTATTGGTCTAATATTCTTTAAATCAGCCGCCATTTTTGAAAACAGCTGCTCTGGATCGGCAGACAAAGTTCTTTTTACTCAGAATAACACACACTTTAGTAATTTACAATCAAACCTTCGCCTACGATCAGGTCGATTTTTGGGTCCTGGCTCCAGGGCTATTACGTAGAGTGGTGCAGGATGCGGAGAGAAAAGTCAAAATCTTACTGGACTTCTTGAAAACTATTGGATTCTACAATAGAATATGAAAAGTGTGAGTGAGTTGACGATTACCAATAATCCTAGCTGATAGAGGCATATAATATATGAGACTATCAACATATAATATATCAAAACACATATTTTTTAATACAACTTGAGCTGGGTTTCAACTTATTTCGTAATAAACCCTCAACTTAATTAAGATGGACTTTTTTTTCTAAAAGTGGAGTGTCTATAGTATAGTTGGAGGGTGAAAAATTAAAATCACAAGTAACTCATGATTTCTTAAAAGGAGAACATAGCTTAGTTTGTCCTCCCAAAAGTCCTCTTTAAATGGTTTTAAAAATGACAAACTCCACTTTCGTTTGAAGTAAACTTTTTCTTGTTTACAGTTAATCAGTTTTTAATTAATTATATTAAATTATCTTTTAGTTATCGCTTCCTATTCATCAAAAACTACGATTTTCTTAAAAAAACATAAAACATAAATTCCGTACTATTCTGCCGAAAATCGGACCATTGTTTATATGAACGTTTATTATAGCTCTTGAGAACTACCAATGTTTAAATATTTCCCTGCATATCAACATGTCCTAGGATTTGATGATTCAATCACCCCTCAATTTTCACGTGACATTATTCACATTTTTCGCGGCGGACTAGTCGGACTGTGGAAAACGTATTTTTATTTGAGATTGTACACACTATGGTATCAATTTTTTTTTTTACTTTTTTATTTATAAAATAGTAAAATATTTTATATTTACAAAATTTTACTTTTATATTTATAAAAATAAATATACTTATTTAATTTTACTTTTTTTGTTTTTAAGGACCAACCCAACCATCAACCCACAATTACGATATACACTCAATTGTATTTTTTTTGTTAGATATTTTTAAGTATATATAATAAGTAAGCCAAAAAAAAATCCATATAACTAAATAAATGTATAAACAAATAAATTTTAAATATTCAATATTATATTTGTTCGTTTAGCATTAATTATGTTCAATTTTTACACATAATAAAAACTCCCGCCATTATTTTTTGTTTAGTTCTTCGCCCTCCCTCTCCCAATCAAAATAAAAAATCTGCGTCTTAGAGGAGGCATTAGAGGAGGAATACGTCAACATCTGGATAATTTGAGTCAACTAACGCAATCATATTGTATATCATATCGAACGCCTTTCTGGGCCTTAGATTAGATAATTTATAAATGTTTAACTATGGAATACTTGAAGATATGATTTAATAGGCTAGGATGGTAACCTCTTGAATTGTAATCCAGAAGGGAGTTTTATGGCGCAAATTGCGCTATAAAAAGTTTTGAGGGGGGCAAATTGTTGAAATGAAAAGTTTCAAACCAGAGGACAAGGGGAAAACATGGAACAGACAGCAGCAAATATAATTTTATTTGGTCTAGTATTTTATAAATCCTACTTTCCCTTACACTGTTTTTCAGAAGAGGAGAGCAATAAAATATATTAGGAGAGGAGAGGTTCACCTCCTACATTGGGGAGGGGGTACCCCTGGCAGGAAGAGAACTTCTCTTATTACTTCAGTTTTTATATATATATATATATATATATATATATATATATGTGTGTGTGTGTGTGTGTGTGTGTGTATGTTTTACGACTTTGTTATTCCAGCCTATTCTTAACATTTTTGATTATAACGCTCGAATAACAAAGTCGTAAAACATACATAAAATTTTATTAGCATAAACGCTATCTGCATCGTCTTCACTTAATGATTCTATTGAAATGCATCGGTAGTTTTCCTAATAGATAAAACAGGCATCCTCTTGAACATGTCGTTGATCATTTTTAAATTTAAGTGATTTTTAACACACAAAAAATCATACCTAACTGTTCCTTAAAGGCTCACACATAAACCGAAACCTACTGCTCTTTGTTCATATCGACATCGAATCTTCCGCTAATGGCTAAGAAGAACTATAGCAAAACTAAGATCTAGTTCGTATCTGGAAGATAATTGTTGGGCAAACTCACTTATCATGGGTAGCAGAAAAGAACTGAGATCTGTCAACCAGAAAAATACTGATTGAGGAGGGACAAAAGAAGACGATTACTAAACTGAAGAATAAGAACATACAATAGTAATGGTAATTAACTTGTATTCTTGCACACTGCAATCACACTTATTATCTTCTAGAAATGGTAAAGCATAAAATAAAATAAAAATTTATTACTTACATCTATTCACTGTTCTGTGAATAATACTTCTGCTTAGCTTATCCAAATACAACGTCTGGCATAGGTAATTATGTGGAACGTATTCCATCCTAATACACTTTAATAGTTATTGATCTAAATTGTAAAAGTCGGACAATATATTTTATAAATAAGTAAACTTCAAATCAGAAATAGTAATCATGTGTCAACAGTTTTTAATATTTCAATTGTTGTTTATTTCGTTTAATGTTTTAAGCACAACGATTTGGCCTAAGAAAATGGGGCTTCTTCACTTACCTTTCCTAAGAATAGTAGAAAGATCTACATTTATTTCTACTATGAACCTCGTGGCGGCGATTCCAAGAATACTATTCTTACAATCCAGACTTATTTTAAACTTTGATTTGATGAATTGCTACTTCAGGATAATATAATTCAAAAATGGAGCCAAGGTAGAAGGAAAGAAGTACTAGAAAAGGATTAATATTAGAAAATATTTCCCCTCCGTTCAATCTACCCTACCCACTCAAAGAGTACTGCACTATTGAGTTTCACAATTTCTCACAGTGCATGGATTCTTTACAAGCTTCACAGGCTTAACCAGAACGTTGATCCTCAATGTTTTCCTCCCTGAGGAGGCATTTTCTAGGTAAGTAAGCAAGGAAAACTTCCTGCGACTCATAAAATTTATTCAAAGTTGGAAACGACAGTGGGTCCATGCCTACTTCAATCTTGAAGCCCAAAGGAGAAAACGATTACCGCTGGCTTCAAAAAAGATTGATGGGTGTAATCGGGAGAATAAACCAAAAACATAAAGATTTTTACCGCTTTACCATTATACTACTCTATTTTTTTCTTTATTGCCGCGACCAAGGAAAATGAGATTGAAAAACTCATCCTCTAAGTTTTAAGAAAATAAAAGCCAAGTGGGAGAGATAGGAAATTAGTTGGCTAAAGGTTATGAACACATGGAAAACATACAATCTATATAAATTTAGATGTGCTGTTTTCAAAAAATCTTTAATCTTCATAATCTCTGAGTAAAATATTAATATAAATAAAAAGTTTTTTCTACCACCTTCTCCTATAATTTTTTGTCTTTCCTTCATCATAATCCTTATCCCCCATGTACAGCTTGCTCAGTGTGGGGTTCCGTTTCTTTCCAACAAATGGAAATTTGTGGATTTTGTTTTCTTAACATATCAATTAGGAATGGCAAGGAAAGGTATAAAAAATGGTAAGCTCATAGGAAATTAATTGGATTAAGGTCATGAGAAGAAATGAGTAACATACAAGACATACATTTGAGAAGTTTTACATATTACATGTTTTCAATAATAATAAATTATTAAATGTGAATTGAATTGAATTGAATTATTTTGTGCTGTCAAGGGTATATTTTAATTTTAAGCGTAATTAATTTTTGGATATCACTTCTTGTTACATTGGGTGAACTATTCTGGTGTCTACAAAATGTTCTGATGTTTTCTCCCGCCCCGACATCAAAACTTCATTTTAAAGAACAAATATTTTTGTATCTCATCAATGATGATTTTATCTTTAAAATATTTTTTTAACTACAATATTATAAATATTGTTCAAAATCACACTCTACTAATAATTATTTTATTTGTTTACATACTTTGATAGAGAAAATTAAAATATTACAAATTCACTAATAGTAATGCAATATTTTGTTCAAAAACAAAATTAAATGTTCCCTAATATTTTTCTCTATATTTTCTTATCACATCTATGTAAAAACAATAATAATTACAAAATGGACATAATTTTTTGTTGCAGCTACTCTTTGGCATCACTGTTTCATAGTTCAGTTATCTGTCTGCAATGGTTTCGGGGGTTAGCTAATAGTATTGTTTATTTTGTTTCATTTACTTATGACTGATGTTTGTCAACAATGTCAAACCCAAGTTTTAACAAAAACAATGGGGCCATGAAAATTCGTTTGACAAGTATGTATCCAAAACTCATTTATTAAGTATTTATCATATTCGACATTCATTGGTTTAAAAAAAAAAGTACTGTGCAGCTCTGAATATTTCGTCGTTTTCTCAAAAATTGAACATTAATTTATCCTTCTTTACCATAAAATCAATGCTTTATAAGTTGTTACTTCTTTACTTTATAAGTTAATGACAAAATTAGCTTCATATATTCTTAATTTTGGACTTCTATTTCAAACAGTATTAAAATTCACGTTTTTTGCCTTTTGTGAATGGATTTATATTTTGAACCACTAATGTTATTAGAAAAAGTGATATGTATTAATTAATATGACTAAAATTAGAATTTCATGAAATTCGGACATAGCTGATGCAGCAAATATCATTTAAAAATATCATATTTTGGACATCATCATTTGTTTTATCATAATGTATTTGTTCTCTAGTGTAAATCTTATAAAGACTTTATAATAATCAGCTACTAGCTTCAGAAGTTTCGTAATCGTGATCTTAGACATTAAAGCACAGGGGTGATAGCAATACCACTTAATATTGTTCATCTTTATATGCAGTCAGAAAAGAGCCGAGCATAGTTTTTTTTCTTCATAGAATGTTGAAATTACAAAAATTTATTTGCAGGATGTCATTCGTTAATACTAATCAGTGTATAACATCCTGATTAGTGAAATGTGTATAGGTATTTTTATTTTGGATTTCTGTGCTATTATTGTTCCCCTTATTTTGTGTATATAATAATTAGATTATTTTATGCAGTAATTGTTATTATAAATTGCAGTTGCTATTAGAGATATACTTTCTCTGTGTCTAATAATATACTCAGAGATAAATATTTGTGTTCAAAAACTTTTGAACATTTTTTGAATTTAACAGTTTTGTCTTCATTTATGTTAAAAGATCAGTTTTTTTTTTTTTTGGTAGTTTCTATTGATGTCATATAATCTTTTGTTGCTTGTTGAGGTATTTATTTTAACACCTAAGTCACTAATTCCTGTCAGTGCGGGTAGATTATCTCCCTCAATATAAATTAATCCTCAGAATTATCTTGGCATCTTTATCTGACCAAGTTGTAATTGCATTCATATTCTTCAACCTCCTCATTCTTATTGTGAAATTAATTGCAGTTTGAAGAAATTTATTCATTAACCCTACAGTCTCCATATTTAATCTAATTTTTTTTTTTTTTTTTTTTTTTGCTTATAGATAGTTTTATAAAAGTTATAATTTTAGATGAATGGCTTCTACAAGTGCCTCAGTAGATGCTGGGTGTTCAAATGTCACCATATTTTTCAGCACATTTCTTGATACCTAAGCAACTCAAAATATATAAAAAAGTTTTCCGATATCATATGCATTCATCATGTAATAGTGAACTTTATAAATATTGTGTTTAATAATTATTTTTCTTTCAATTGGAAGTTGATCAAATGTATGATACTGACAAAAAATAAATGATTGTAGAGATTTATCACTACCATAAATAGATAAAATAGATGGTAAAGATAGCAAAAATTGTAAAAAAAGAATCTAGAGGAACAGTACAAACACAATTAAAAGTGAGAACTCTGTAGTTTTCTTTAGGAACTGCGGGTTGATTGAAATTGTCTTAATATTGCAATAAGTAATAAAATCATCACATTAATTAGGGTTGGGGTGGCCCAACGAGCTAATAAGTGTGCACAGCACCACCGTTGTCCGGCAACCTGATATATTAGACAAATTGATAAAAAATAGTCACAAGTTTGCGTCCTGGTGCCGAAAGAGTCTTTTAACTCTGCTATTAATCCCCTGCCTTATCCCCTGGTCCGGTAAAAGGAACGGGAGAACCCAAGACAAAAAAAGAGATAGAAATATTTGAATCTTATAAAACTTAATTTTTTGTATGCTATGAAGTTTTACATTTATGGTTCCAATATGTATTTTTTCATGCAGTTTCACAGTTAGATGAATTTATAAGATAATTTTTATTGAATTAATAAAACTAATTTTATTAGTGAGTTCTCAACTTCCAAACAATAGCCCTAAAGTGATGTTTTGGTCGAGACGTCAGGTAACATATTAAAGAAATTTTGACTGAAATTCCTAACAATTTTGTTTAATCATTAAAATTCAACAGTAGACTACTTACTATCTCTATATACTTATTATTTTTTATTTTCTAATTAAGATGATGAATTTTATTGATATAGATTCGCAATACATTTTCCAACATTTTAAATTATTTGTAAATACCAACAAGTTTCTATAAATTTTGTGTTTGAGCCTATCATTATTAGTTTAATGTTGATAATATTAACATTTTTGTTGCTACTATTATACAAGTTTAAAGGGAAAAGTTACATTTGTTATGAATCGTTGTAAATTAAAACAACTGTTACTAAATAATGTTAAAATTTATTGACTTTTCAGAGAAAATCTTTAAAAATGTTAGTGGGGTGTTAATAACTAATAACACAAGTTATTAACAAAGTTATCTCCCGTGTGCTTACGCCTACCATTGAAGAATATGAATATATTTAAATCTTTGCTAATATTTTTTTTTATTTCAGTATTTTTTTTTTGGAAAGGCTCAATAATCTTTTTCAAATATTTTATCTATTTAGGCCCATTTACCTATATCAGATTAGTATTATAATCATAGAAATTAAATACTGATCATGATTCTAATTTGATTCTATTTTAGTTTTTTTTTTTTTAAATTATTTTGGTGCCTTAACAGTGATTAGCACTAATATACCTTATAATGTAAAAATTATGCTAATATTTTCTTTATTTTTGAATATCATCGTGTTGTTATTCTGTTTCAGTTCTGTGTGCACAAAATTTAGCAAGAAGAGATCTATTTAGTGAGTAACTTCTAGCTTTGCCAAACAGTTTTTTTTTTTTTTTTTTAAGCTTGTTATTTATTATTTCAAAAGAAAAGGGTTTAAGTTTCATAGGCATTAATTTTCTTCTTTTTTTTTTTCAATTATTTACAATAATATTTTAACATTTATTTTTCAGGATTGCCAGATCCATTTGCCAAAATTAGTGTAGATGGTTCTGGGCAATGCCATTCGACAGATACATGCAAAGGAACTCTAGATCCAAAATGGAATCAGCATTATGACCTGTTAGTTTTTTTGTTTTCAGTTTTTATTTAGTTTATGATTTAATATTATTTTATTCATCTGTTTTTTTTTCATTATGAAAAAAAAAATGTAGTGTATTTATGATACCCCAAGAATTTAATTAAATTCAAAATTATTTATACTTGTCTTGATCACTATTAGCCCAGTAATCTTGTCGTGAAAAGGGGGGTCGTTCTAAGTTGCATCGAATGAAGGTAAAAGATTTCTTTTTTTTTTTGTTCTTTTATGGAATGTGACTGTGATACAAAATCCAAGTTTTTGACGTTGGCTCCCCCTCTCCCTAGATCACTTATTAAAACCCTCAAAAATGCTATGTTTTCGAACTTTTTTCGGTTTTTCCTAATTTTATACATGAAGGAGCACATTTTCGACAGAAAGCATTCTATACATTTTTAGACCTCAGTTGATTAAATAGTTATGATATATAGATTTTCAAATTTTAGAAAATTTTATTTTCCATTTAAATTATTTTTCATGTTTAATCATGTGCAATTGTGTTTTATCTTCAATAACCTGTCTGATATGAGTCAGTGAAGTAAATTTTTATTAATTTCTTTTGACTCGGATTTTGTATCTCAGTCTTATCCTGTGCAAGAAAATAAAAAGAGACCTACCCCCATTCAATGCAACTTACGATGTTCAAAGTTACTGGGCTAAATTATAAACCAGCAAGATCATTTTAAACTTCATTTTTATTTGATTTTAAAATACTCATTCTATATCGACCTCTCCCTATTCACAGCCCTTCCCCTGGGGAAATGCCTAGTGTTGATTGAATTTATTTATTGGAATGAATGTTTTTTCACTTTTCCTAACACTGCTTTAAACAAAAATTGTTTGGAGTAGTTTGTGTAACTGATTACATGTCATCTTGTTTCCTAGAAGCAGTAAGTTCTGTAATATTCTCTTTCCCCTACTTATTCCAGTTTTGATAGTTATGTTGACACCTATTGTTTTATTATTTTTGACAATAAAAGTTTGTAATCGACTGAGGAAAAAAAAAAGAATATTCCCATCAGTTGAAATTTGAGATTTTTTTTTTTTTTCAGGATGTCTCTGTGATACAAATAATAAAACAATCCAACAAATTCGGTCATTTATTCTCATTCTACCCTGTTTTTAAACAATAGGGATTATGGAAGAAGTTGCACATACCAGTTTAACTGTCTTTTTCCAATTTATCTCTTCTCCTGAAACTATTTTCTTTTCACCGAAAGAGGTTAAAATGGTTTGTCCATATTGCTTCTTACATCTACATCTATAATGAAATCTTCATAATATAGTTATTTCTATTTACACCGTTTTCTGTGATGTTAGAGTCTGATTTCCTTCATTAGTTTTGCCCTCATTACCTCAAATGTGGTGCAGGTTGTGACGACGTGATTAGTAGTTCTCGATAAGCCACAACATTGGCATAGGAAATTAATTCACTTCTCTAAGTGATAAAGCTTGTCATGAAATCCACTGCGAGGCATTGAGTTTTAAAAATCAGAAAGGATCTGTTTGGCTCACAACCATTAATAGATGATGGGGAAATATTTTCTCATGGTAGTCTCTTTCAGGGTGGTTACCCACCCTTAACATGATAAATAATAGATTTTGGATCAAAATAATATGTAACATGTCATCCCAGGGTGATGCTCGGAATTTGACATTTATTTGTAAATAGAAAGCAATTATAGCTGATGAGAAATTTAAATACCAACAATAATTTACTTTAAATCCAAACTAAACACCATTTTAAGATTTTTTTTTTAATTTATAGGATATATCTTGGAGATTAGTGTCTTATTTTATTTTTATTTTTTTTATATATTTGTTCCTTTATTTTTCCCTTCACTTTTGGGAATAGTCAATGATACCCCATTATTTTGTAATTTTTATTTTCTGTTGCACTTTTTTTGATTAATTTTAGTCAAGTAGTTCTTATTGTTATAATAATAATGATGATGACGATTAAACCATTTTTCAATTGTAGATATATCAGTAAAAATGATGGTATAACGATTAGTGTTTGGAATCACAGAAAAATCCATAAGAAAGAAGGAAGTGGGTTTTTAGGCTGTGTTCGCATATTGCCAAATGCTATACAACGTCTCAAAGATACAGGCTGTAAGTGTTTAATACGGTATATAATAATATTACAACATTGATTTATATTTATTATATTATAGTTGTATTTATTAGTGGTTGTAGTAAAAGGTATAAAAATTGTAATAAACTTTCCGTCCAAGCATAATATTTATATAAACTAAAAAAATTTAAAATATTTATACTATAACTTTTTATTGTTTAGTTCAGTTCAGCTACTAATACTTTTATAATAATGTGTTGTATATTTTTTACAATGTAGCTCCATACGATATTTTTTTATACATTAAACATATTTATTTAAATATGAATATGAAATATGAATGAAAGAAACTCAATACTATTCTGATAAAGATTTTCATATTTCTTTAAATATTAATTAAATTAAAAAGTATTATGATTAGTGTGTTTTATGTAGTCGATGTCCAAGGTGAATTCATCTGTTGTTGAATTTTTATATTTTTAATGATTTTGGCCTGGCTAAAAAATCAGCATACATGGACTAAATGAATTTATCCATCATGGTACAACATTTTATACATTTTTAATTGCTCCATAAAATTATATTTTGATCAGATAACTAAATTATTTTGTTTTCTGAAATATAGGAAAGGATTTTATCTTACTTCTTTTAATCGGATGTTGTGGATGAAGAGATGCCTTTAGAAAAATTAGTTTCTTTATCATCCCTGCCTGCATGTATTACATGATTTTTTTTTTGTCATGATAGAAAAGCTCTTTTAGGAGGATACATTATCAAAAACGAACTGAGTTAAACATGGCATTTAACAAAAAGCAAAGACTAGAATTGAAATATTAAATGTAAACAAATCACTGAAATTCATAGAAATGTTTCCCTCTCCTTTCCTAACTTAATTCCCAATTCAGAATTTTAATATTTAACAATGTAAATTATATGATGTTTATGACTTTAAGGTTAAAAAACAAATTACTTAATATGAAACACAACGTAATACAGCTTTACTTTTTTCATAATTTAGAATTATTTTCTTGGAAATTATTGGAAAATTTTACCTAACAGGATCCTCCGATGTGGATGGTCCTAATGGTTGCATTCGTTTTTCGACTTACGGGTTGGCCTTAAAAAAGTACACACTATGTTCCCTATCTCTTTCTATTCCAGAGGTTCATACTTGCTGGTTATAAACTTTTTCAACTCCTTTCAGTGAAAGTTGACTTCAGTACCCTTTTAGCTTTAACACAATATATTTCATTTTCAAACCGGTCGTCTTGAAGTTGTTTTGTGAACTTTAAAATTTTCTAAAGAAATAAGCATTCTAAAATGAAGTATTTTCATAAAATGAGCAAAAGTGTTAAAAATATTTTTTATTGTATTTTCTCAACTTTTTATTTATGGTTATAATATGTTTTCATAATAGATCAGTGCTTGGAGTTGGCCAAAGGAAGTAGTGATGACAGTGAGGTTGTAAAAGGCCAGATAGTTGTTTCTTTACTTTCAACCGAAGGCTCTCCGCAATCGCATGCAGATGGCCTTCCTTTTGGCTGGGAGGAACGGAGGACTTCTCAGGGCAGATTATTTTATGTTGATCACCGCTCACGCAAAACCCAGTGGACTCATCCATTTACGTAATGAATATGTTTTTGTTTAATTCTTTCTTTTATTTTTTAACTATAAAAAATTAAAATTAACACAGTATATATATAAAAATAAATATGTTCGAAAATACATTTATTTCAGATAAATAATTCGTACAAAGTCGTAAATTTAAGTCTGAAACATGTACTAGTATTTGATAAATGGCAGCCATATTATCTTTTATTTATATTTATTCATACCATATGAACTTATCTATAAAAAAACATACTTGAAATATGTATTGATTCTATTTCATAAATTAGTCATTTTTTTTTTTAAACCAAGAACAGCTCTACCAAAACTTTGTCAATCTAGACTGTTGTATTTTTAGGTCTGTGAGATAGAAAAGGCAAAAATTTCTTTCAAAGTTAAAAACCTTTTCTTATTGAATATTGATAGTAAAGTAAACAATCATTTTTAACTTGAAATCTATGTTTATATATGGAATCTAAGACTCGACTGTCATTTTTCACAGAACTCAAAAAATGTTATCCATTGCCTTCATCAAATTGTTTTTTTTTCAATTGATAAGTTAGTTACTTTATTCATAACAAATAAAAATTGATTTATTCTAGTTCTTGTAACGATAAAATTAAATTCTAATTAAGATGGTGTTAGTTAAAGAAAAAAAAATCTAACCCTCACAGAGGGGCTTAGTTGAACAAGCACGGATTATATTAAGAAAAACAGGTGGCATATCACTGAAAGATTTTCAATACTTGGCTCTTTTAGATAAGTTATTTTTAATTATATTCTTGTATGAATTGTTTATTATATTTAAATAGATTTAAATACCTCAGTTCCACAGTTACCTGGAAATGCACCAAGTTTTAACAGTAAATAGCAAGTAAGAAGGAGCAATCTGCTTGAGAACTGATTCTCCTATTGAGTCAGAGCTTGATGACTCGTTGAAAATAAGTGATTTTTTTTCTCTTTTAAACTGAATTATTGAAGTTATTGAATCAATGAGTGAGTAAGAGAACTGATAAGATAATAATATCTGGAATGATCCAGGAAACTCATTAGTTTATACCTGTAGAATGATTAAATCAGTAATACTGTTAAATACCTATTAGTTTCATCCAAATAATGATTTATTATCAAGTATAACAACATCGAAATTCCATTTTTCAAGAAATGTGAGTATTAATTACTTCAATGAAATATAAATCTAAAATAAATTTAAATCAATGGATCTTTATCTGGTATTATTATTATTATTATATGAAGTCTAGAAGGTTAAAATGATTTGGAGCATTAGGAACTCAGCAATCCATCAGGTCTTCTGTACTTTTCCCTCAATGCCGTACTAGTTGAACAAAAACCTCTTTTATGATTGGAAACAAATTAATCGACTAAGTTATCAAAGATATACTTCGTTTGATTAAATTACCCTAGATGAAGTTGGAAGTGGCCGACTTTTTTAATAGTCAATATATCTTATTTTGGAAAATGATTACAGAACATCTCGTGTAAATAAGTCAAATTTTCATTAGTAAAAAAAAAATTAAGTTTCAAATGAAAAAACTAAAGTAGTTTTTAGGTTTGGAATTTTAATTTGTTAAATGAATTTGAGATATGTGTAATCAATAAACTTTTGGAAGTTCTTGTATTAATCTATGTATATTACCTAGTTAGCAGTTGATCTAAAAATCTAATCAACATTATATCTTCATTCTTATTTTTTTTTTCTAAATTTGATCTTAGCGAACTGGAAAATATGCATTCTTTCTATCATAACATTTATTATATTAATTATGATGATTTTGTAATATTTTTTTCAGTCCTAGTCCTATGTCAAGCCCAACACATCATTCAAACAATGAATCAAATGTTTCTACTAGAAATGATGGGGGAACTCCTACGCAACCTATTGCACCTACTAACAATAATGCTCAAAGAGAAAGGTAACTTGTTGTTTTGTTTTTTTTGTCATCATTTTCAGCATCGAACTTACTATTTCAAGTGATGCTAAAAATTTTTTAATTTTTTAGCTTTAATTCTCTTAATCACTTCATTGATTACCTTTTTATTTATAAATTAATGAGGTTCTGTGTGTGTTATTAAGAAATGATTCATTGCTATAAGGAGTACAGCTTATCTTTTAAGCTATCTCATGTGTTGTCATCTTTTCCTATCAAATTCCAGGTATTTTAAAAATTGATTTATAAAAATAACAAGTGACAATATATAAAACAGATGGCTTCTGTTTTCTATATTTATCTCCTTTTCTGATTGTTGCTTTACTCAGTGTGGAATTATGTGTGTTTTGTCTTTATAAATTCTTTATTCTTTTTTTTTTTTCATTTAAATAAATATTGTTTTGTATCTTTATTTGCTCAAAGATGTGGTCTCAGTTTTGGTAAAATATCAAATCAGTTATAAAATAAATATACATATAAATATATTGAAATAGATTCAATTCAATCAAAGTGCTATATATCTTTAAGGATTTTATACTTTTTTTTTGTACATTGTGAAAATTTTCAAATCTCAATTCAATTCACTTTTTATAATTATATTGGTATTTTTAATTATAGAAATTTATATGTTTTATTAGTACTTTTTTTGTTTTAATTGTAATCTAAAATTTTGATGCAAGTTGCAATATTTGTACTGTATTGAACTTGATTATACATAATTCAGTACATATAATCATAATTGGGTAAGTTAAAAGCTTTGGATCCAAGTCATGAAATACAATACTTATTTTTTTCATGAAAACTTGTAATCTATCTCACAATTGAAGGTTTAAGAGGAATAAGCAACATTTTTGAATTCTTAAAAATATTAATTCAAATTGCTTGTATCTATTATTAGGCTGATTTTTATCATCAGTGACATTAGTCACCTCTAGACCAAATATTGAATTTGTGTAAACGGTTAGAAGGAATATTAATAATATATCAATTAAATCCTTATTATTAGTAATAATTCATTTTTTTCTATAAATGCGCTTATCTACTTGATCCTTCAATTACTCTAGGAACAAGGGTATCCAAACGTTTTTGCCTGTGAGCTTTACTAAGTCCCACAGGCCATTACTCCTAATAAAAACTTAGGAGGTAAATTAATAAACATCTCACAAAAATGTCTGGAGGCCGCAGCTAGCTCACAGAGGCCACAGGTTCTCTCCCCTCTCCCCAACCTATGGCCTAACTGAACAATTTTAAAATAAGAGCTATCTATAACGTAACAAAATAAATTTCAGATTATCAATAAAGATAATCACTGGATTTTAGTTCAGTGAAAACTTCTGAAATGTATAATACAAACTTCAAAATATGCATAAAGGTGCAATAAAGTACTCAATCAAAACCATGTAAGAAGATGTAGTGAAGGAAACAAATATTTGTTAACATGTTAATACTTTTTATTAACATAATATACGCAAAACTAAAACACTAGGGGTAGTAACTTTGGTTTATATAAATTACTTTTTAAAAAAATTAAAAACTACTGAGGGACTTACAGAAAATTTTTACTATTTCTATCTAGTTTACTATATAGACAAAAGTTGTATAGATTTTTTTTTTTAGGATCTTTAGAATATGCTCTGCATGTGTCATATGTCATATGATTAGATTCGTGGAATGAATTCCACCACCGGTACAGTTCGGAACGTAACGAGACCCTAGAAAACTTTGTTCCGCTGGAACGTAATCTAAGAGCAAAATATAAACGTCTTTAGGGCTCGGTTTGTAAATGTTCGGCAGAAAAGTCAAATAGGTACAAAAAGAATTTATAGCAATTATGGGTTGTGTGTTATAGTAATTGCTGACGAAGTGGATTAACAGAGTAGTCGACTAGGTTGTTTGGTTCAAAAGTGTACCATAAAGACTAAATTTATTCACTGTTTGATTAAATATAAAAAAATCCAATTAAGTTAAAATATAACAAGATCTTGACCAATGAATTTAAGATAGCAATTCGCAAATTTTAAAAATATCAATTAAAATGCCAAGGTTTAGATAAACTATTAAAATAATAATGAACTAATCTACTTATATAAAAATGAATGTATGTATGTCTGTTTGTCCTTATGCATTACTAAACCCTTCATCCAAAGCGCTATGAAACTTGTTGACATGAAGTTGTTGCGTATACTTGCAAAGGTTTCTGGCATAGTACTTCTGTCCTACGATAGTTTTATGGTTTTTTTTATTAAAAAAAAATGAAGATGTAATTTTTTTTTTGTTAAAAACTTCTGATCTCCGAAAGATATTTACCAATTGCTTTGAAATTTTGCTTTGCAATTCACAGCATTGCAATCGAATTCAGGAGTGTTCTTTGAGCATTTCATTACTATCCGGTCATTCGTAAAAACAGCAATTTTTACTTTATCAGCTAATAGTCAAGTCAGAAACATTCGTTAATCAACATGCCACTTTTGAAAAGATTTGTTGGCATGGAATCAAATTGGAGGTTATACTCAACATTTCTTTAGCAATAATGTACAAATTAGGTTGGTTGATTTACAGACCAAACTACCACTTAATAGGATCCTCGTTGTCGAATAAAATATCCTTATCTAAATGCCTGTTTAATTCAATCATTGCCTTTGATTCAGGTGTCCCTTTCAGAGAATGTTGCTCTCGGGCTCTTACCAATGTTCAATCAATCAATGTTCCTAAAACGTCCAGTTCGTTTTTTTTTTTCTTTTCTTTATTTTTCTGTACTCCTCTCTGTTTATCTTCATTTTCCTCTGCTACAATGATTTTTGTGTTGTTTTAAATAGTTTTAGTAATACACATATTTGCTTCATTATTCTCTATCGTCTTTCAATGTTGTTCGGAATGAATATGGAACAGAACAAGAACTGGAATGAATTCTTTTGGTGGAACATTCCGTTACGACCTGAAGTCGGAATTAATCATTCCTATATATGATGTTAAGATGAAACACTATAATAGCCTTTCCAATTTTTAGCATTTGAGGTGTTCCATTAGTCAATAATACCATTTTAACACTTTGTTTCTTCTCAATAAAGTTTTTAAAAACAAATTATGACAATTAACAGTCTAAACTAGTACTACTGGATAAAATAGGAGTAATCGGGTCTGTTTGAAATATTTAACTGAATATTAGTTGTTAGTTTTTATCACATTATTAATTATACAATTTATTTTGCTGAATCACAGATAAATTTGTAAATAAAACATTGATTTTATGTGTAAAATTCTAAAAAACAAATGCAAACATAATTTTTTTGCAGAAAATTCTTAAAATGTGCTAATTGCCTCTATAACCCCAAAACATGTAATGTGAACCTACCGTCAATAGAATGTTCTCTTCATGATTCAAATTTCTGTTGTGATTTGAATGAATTTGATGCTAGCAAAAAAACAATATGTAATTGCATGAAAATCATCGGGCCTCTAATTATAATATTATGACTTTCAGGCTGACAACAACTTAATTTAACGTTTAATGATTATTGTTCAAAATGATTTATGATTTAAATTATTATTAGTCCTGGTAATCAATGCTCTATATTAGTTATCTATACCCTTCTATGAAGCAAAAATAAAGTTATGAAAAATATTTAATGATGCGAAGTTGTTAAAAAATGGACATAATGTCCTGTAACTTTAAACTACAGATATATTCCTTTTGAAATATTAATTGTTTTGCTTTTTAATTTTGTAGGAGGACTGATTCTTGCCTGCCTGGCTTACCACCGAGTCAAGCTAGAAGAAGGTCCAGTAGGACTAGGCCCAGTAACCATTCTCGGCATAATATTCAACAGCCACCTGATCTGCCATCTGGTTACGGTTAGTCATTTTCTAATTGCAACATCTATTAATTACTTAAATTAGTATTTTAGGTTATATGCTATTAATTATTATTTAATTAATACATTATTTAAGTCATTTGTCAATTTCCAAAGACATACCATCGGAACTAAAGCTGTAGTTCGTATTAATGTTAAAAAAAATTCTTTAAAATGTCTATCACCGGTACATTTGTCTTACAATCTTAAATACTTTTTCTTTTGCAGAGATGAGAACAACTGAGCAAGGACAGGTATATTTTTATCATAGTGCAACCGGTGTCAGTTCTTGGCACGACCCGAGGGTACCGAGAGATACTGAGGCAGAGCGCCTTGGACCTCTTCCCCCAGGTTGGGAATCACGTCACACACCTTCTGGTCGGGTTTACTATGTCGATCATAACAATCGTACTACCCAGTTTACTCACCCTGCTGCCCTTTACCATTATACTAGACAGCAGCAGCAGCAACAGCAACAACAGGGCAGGCCAAACCAGCAACAACAACCTCCTAATCAAAACCATCAACAACAAAGGTAAGTAAAAGAATTAGATATAATAAATATAAATATGAAGAAGATAAAAATAAAACCCAATTTAATGAAGTACAGAATAATTTAAAAAGCTATATTTTATAATAAAGATTTTACAACATCTATGAATTCAACCATCTATGACTTTTCAATTTTTAGAGAAAATATAAAAAATGGTTTTCATCTAAAATTGTTCTTGCCAAATATTGAAAAACATAAAAAACTGGCTCAGATGGGCTCTCTTACTACACTCCTTTTAACAAGAAATGACATGACGAACTGCTGCTTATTTAATTACAAATCAAACAGAGCAAGTTGCCATTATTAGCTCATGGTAGAGCCACACCAAGACTGACTTGTTAGGAGAGACTGATAACTACACGACTCACTTGGTGATACTAGAATTATCAACAATTGAAGAATAGTAAACCAACCATCAAAGAAATTAAATAAGATTATTATTTTTCTCAGAATGTTTTGCATAATATTGCTCCCGCAATTATTAAATCTTTAACAACTGATTATGGCAAAGGAGGTATTAGGCAAAGGCATGGTGGTAGTTTGACTGGGAGGAAGGGGTAAATCCACTGCCTTTTGAGTTTAGAATATAATAGAAAAATCAATTTTATTTTCTAACTAAGTCTAACAATTGTAACAAAAATAAGATTAATTCTGGCCATAAGATCGATTACATAATGAGAAATTAAAATATCTAGGTTTAAAAAAATGTATATTAAAAAAACAGATAAGGAAAGGTAAACAAAAATATCTTTACAAAGTACTATGAAACATGAGTTTATTTTAAATTGTTTAACATCCCCCACCTTGTTTATCTAGACTCTGGACACACCACTGAGATTTGAAATTTTTTTATTAATGTTTTTTTTTTTTCAATTGCTTTATTAATTTATGTATATAAAAATTGAGTATAGGAGCAAACTGCAAACTAGTATACACTAAATATAAAATGGTAGTACAGATTTCTTTTCCTGCTCCCATGAATAATGGATTTTGTTAAATCAGGTGTCAAACAAAATAGAATTTGATGGAGAAGTGGCAAATCCTAATTTTGATCCTTAAATTCCTACCACAACTTTGAACAATGTTATTGAAAAACTTGGGAGGTTTTTTAATCAACTAATCAAGATGGGATAAATTATGTTTTAAATATTTCAATGCTGTCATCGAGACTTGGTTTGGTTCCGTAGGAACTATCGTCCCCTATGCTTTAATACACCAGAATGAACCATTTTTGAGATGATGCATTAAAGAGTCTGATAATTTCAATTTTCTCAGTGCATATAGTAATTGTTGAAATAGAGTCTATGGAATAAAACTATAATGAAATATTAGTGGAGGAAGAGGAAATGTTTTACGCTGTGTATATGACCGGCCGCCTATGAGGAAAAATTATGAGCAGTAGCAATATCCTTACCTTGACCTTTCCATACTTATTGATTGTACTCTATGCTGTTTATTGTATTGTGTATGAACTATATAAATTTAAAAAATAAATATAAATTTATACTTTTCTGTAGTTCCATCTGTTTTTATAGCAATATTTTATTAATTCAACAGAAGCTTGGACAAAGGAGAGGTTGGAGAACCTTCCGAAGGTGAGGCTTTGCCGAAGTATAGAAGAGATCTGGTTGCCAAGCAAAAGATATTGAAGGCAGAATTGACTGCCCTACAACCACAGAGTGGCCACTGCAGGCTGGAAGTGTCAAGGCATGAAATATTTGAGGTACTTTGTGTAATCATTATGTTTTATTTAATTTAGAGATCATTTTGCTTATCTCAGGTTTTAATAATATTATTGCTGTAACAAATATTATACTGGTTATTAAAAAAAAAAAAGTTCAAATCAACTTCTTACATTTTTTCATATTCTGACCCTGTTCTTACATAATAATCTCATAAAATTCTATATTACAAAAACCTTGGAATCTTTGAATAAATTCTTTCCTGAAGATGCTGAAACATTTCATAAATTGCTTTGTTTAATTCATCTTCAGGATTTATAGTAATGTCTCAGCCTTTGGATTTTATGAAAAGGACCCTATCTTTGACAACTTCATAAATATTTTCTGACATCCTTGCTCTACCTAGTTAATCAATCCAGCTATTCGTCATGCATCTCAATACTCAACCGATTTGAATCTTTATTTATTCCCATAATAATCATTATATGTGTAGGTTTTCAGATTTATATAAAAAAAAAGCCCACTGAATCATAGCTTTAAACAGATCTTTTATCAGATTATTCCGCTATGGAATTTCATTCCATTCCTTCTTTCATACATCACTCCAATACCCTTCCTATATTCAAATCCTGTCTATTCAATCAATTCCTATCCATCCTTCCAGTAACCAATCAATTGATAATTGATGTTATTTTCATTTTGTAAATAGGCAGAAAAATATATACAGAAAAACTCATTATTTTTTTATTTGTCTTGTTTTTTAAAACATATTGTTAAATGTATTTAGCCTTTTACAATTTATAATTTCATTATTTCTACAAAAGTTAAAAGTAATAGAGAGAGAAACACTTTATTTTCGTATAAAATATAAAAGATTGCTGCCCAATTATATTGGGTTGCTATATGCATAGCATACTCGTTAATCCGTAGGACAATAATTGAACTTATATATAAATATACAGAAGTGGTTAATTTATATGAGTATAATAAATATATATATACATTTTTATTTTTTGTTTTATTGTTCATGTTTTTTTTTTAACATTTAATATCCCTTTAAATGTTAAAAACTCCCTTCTCTCTCTTTATACACCTCTCCTATACACAATATTAAGATGCTTAAAATTATAATAGAACAATAACAAAAAACAAAAGTGTATACATCTAGAATTAAATAAAATTTAATATGAAACAAATATAATAGACATTTTTCATTAAATGAATAAATAAATACATTAATTAAAACTCTCAGCCTAGCCATGACGTGGTGGTGAACGATTACCAGGAAGTCGAGGACTATATTTTTAGCCAACCTCGCTGTGTCCTTAATGTCAAGACCTAGTTTCTCGAGGAAGCTCCTTGTTCTGTTTGGAATTGTTCCGCGAGACCCAAACCTGAGGTCTCTCACAGTGAACTCTCTCTCTCCGAATGTCTCATGGAATTTCTCTTTTAGGAAAGGGATACATTTATCGTACGTGTTCTTCTTTTCCCTTTCCACTTCACCCGCCTGATCAAGGTCTTTGCTCTCAAAGCGGACAGTTGGATCCAAGATCAGCTCTGTCCCTCCTGTCTTGGGAAATGTGACAATATCTGCTTATCTCGTAGAGCCTTCACTATTGATGCAATATACTTCGTCAAAGCAGGTGAATTTCCTTTCCCTAAGGAGCCTCATCATGACATCGATAAAAAAAAAAAATTATCATTGTATCAAATTCAAGATTTAAAAGGACTACCTTTAGAGCATTCTCAAAGTTTGTTTAATTCCACTCAACTTCTTAAAAAAAAAAACCTCAGTTTAGTTATTCGTTTTAAAAAAGAGACAGAATAGTACGAAATTTTTGTAATTTTAAGGCATGAAAAATTTCACAACTGCTGAAGCACCCCATGAAATTTTTAAATGTGAAGGGGAAGGTGTCCTTAACCAGCGCACTGTGCGGCAGTTTGAAAAATTTAGCAGTGGAGATACGACATTGGAAAGGAAGAAGGTCTCCGTGCGGTCATTAATAGATATTGATGAGGTTCTACTGGAAGTTGTTGAGTCAAATCCGTCCACAAGTACTCACGAACTTGCCAGGGAGTGTGGTATGTCGAAAGATACTGTTAGTTGCCTTCTAGCCTCCACGGAGAAGGTGAAAAATAACAGTAGACTGGTTCCTCACGAACTTACTCCTCAGGAATCAGGTATGAGGTTAGAAATTTCTGAAAATTTATTGAAAGACTCCTGCCTCATTCACCATATAGTCATCAACCAGAAGTTTAAATTGCTGTCCAAGAGTTCTTTGACAGCCATTCCAAAGAATGGTATCAGCATGGGATTGAGCAGATGGCTAATGACGGTAGATAACGATGGACTATACTTTGAGTATTAATTGTATTTTATATGAAAGAAATAATAATACAAATATTTTGTTGAAAAACGGTTTTTTTTTTTAATACATCCTAATACTTTAAATAGATGCTTCTGATTTTCATGAAAATATGTATTTTAAGTATTTTTGCTTTTTAATTATTATTATTTCAATTTTTCAATTTATCCACATTGGAAATTTTCTGATAATTTGTTATTATTTCATTATTTTAATTTGTTAATGTTTTGCAATAAATAAAGAATAATTTATTAATTTAAAAAAAAGAAGGATTCTTTCATTTGTTGTTTATTTAGTTCAACGTTTGAACTTATGCTTTATTATTTTGTTTAAATTAAATGTGAAAAAGAAGAGAAAGAGACTTTAGGTTAGGATTGAATTCTGTTTGTTGACAGTTATGCTTTATTATATATAATTTTTTTCTTTTAGGAGTCTTACCGGCTAGTTATGAAAATGAGATCAAAAGACCTGAGAAAGAGGCTAATGGTCAAATTCAGAGGCGAAGAAGGCTTAGACTACGGTGGTGTTGCCAGGGAATGGTTATATCTTTTATCACACGAAATGCTGAACCCGCAATATGGTCTTTTCCAGTATTCTACAGAGAGCAACTATACATTACAGATCAACCCTGACTCGGGAGTTAATCCGGTATGTTTTTTATTTTTATTTTTTTTTTAATTAATTTTTTTTTTTTAACAAAATTATTTTGTTTCTGTTTAGGAGCATCTATCCTACTTCCACTTTGTAGGAAGGATTATAGGTATAGCTGTATTTCATGGCCATTACATCGATGGAGGGTTTACTACGCCATTTTATAAAATGTTGTTGAATAAGCCCATCACGCTAGATGACATAGAAAGTGTTGATCCCGAGCTTCACAGAAGCTTGAAATGGATACTGTAATATCCTTTATTCTATATTTCTTTAATTACCAGTGTTTATGTATTTAAGCCATTATTTTTTTTTTATTAATCTATTCTTTTTTCTTTATATAGAGAAAATGACATTTCACCTGTTATTGATACTACTTTCGCTGTTGAGTGCAATAGTTTTGGAGTTTTAAAAGTACATGAATTAAAAACAGGTGGTAAAGACATCCCTTTGACTGAAGAAAATAAGAACGAATATGTCAAGTAAGATTATTATGATTTTAACTTTTTTCATTTTGCACGAGCAACCTATAACAGAAATTTAACATAAGAACAACTTTACTCATTAGTGTTTTATTTTTTAAGACATTTAAAACATCTATGGTAAATAAATTAAAGTATTATTATTGATGTTGAGTTACTATCTTGTTTTTATGTTATTTAAATTTATCTGTATAATTTAAAAAAAAAAAAAATCAGTATTTATATTTATTTGTTAGTGAATTCAACCTGCAATATTAGTTCAGATTACTGAAATGTTTATTACCAAAGAAAAACAAGAATTTTTCAATTATTTTTCTACTGTTTAAGATTTATTTTATATACTTTAAAGTTTGTAAGTAATCTAAAACTGATATTTTTTTCTATTTTCTAGATTGTATGTAAACTACAGGTTCATGAGAGGGATTGAACAACAGTTTCTTGCGTTACAAAAAGGCTTTACAGAATTGATTCCAACTCATCTCCTACGACCTTTTGACGAAAATGAATTAGAATTGATTATTGGAGGTTTAGGATCAATAGATATAGTTGATTGGAAGGCTAATACAAGGTTAAAGGTATGTTAATCAGCTTTCCTGGTAAATGTAACATAACATCCTGGATCTGTTATGTTACATTTAATAAATATGTAATGTAAACTAATTGCTAATTTTGGTGGCCTAAGGTCTAGTATGTAAAGACAGCAAAAAAAAAAGTAAAAACAATATAGATTTTTTTTAATGATTAAATTCATGATAAAGAGCCTTATTTAGATTTTTTTTTTTTTTTTTTTTTTTGTGGGATAATTATTATATTTATACAATATATGACAAACCTTAAAACAAAAAGAAGGACCTCTTTTAATCCCACAATTTTTATTTTAACGTTTTGTCCCTAAAAACATTCCAAAAATATAAAACAAAAATAACAATAATCATAAAATCATAATTTTAAAAAAATTATAATTTTATACTCAAAGGTAGCAATTGTTTAATTAAAAATATGAAATTTGTTATTTCTTTTTCTTTCCACATCCACGAATAAGACATTTTTTCCTCCTTATTTTATTAAAAACACTTTGATCAAAAACCTTTTTTAATTCAACACATGTGTATAAAAATATAAATAATAAAATTATTTCATTAAAAAATCATTATTGGACAACATTTATTTTATCACATAATAAGGCATTTCGAAAAAAAAAAAAATGTGTTCTCTTATTTTCATTTCTTTCCACATACAGTTTCATCTAATCCTTTAAATAATACAGCTTAGTTTTCCATTCAAACCAGTATAAAAATTAAATTAAAATAAAACTCAATAAAGGGCGCCATAATATGTTTATTGGACCAATCTAAGCTATGATCCTATGAAACTCATTTGATCAAACGGGGCTGATGGAAATGCCCCAAATGTTGCAGGAAAAATATAAGTAAATATTTCACACATCCCTGACTCCCTCTGAAAATATATGGTTTTTTTTTTAAATTTATTTATTACCAGATCGGCCTGGTGGGCCTTACATGGTTGTTGTAACAATTTGATGATTTTTAACAATTGTTCTGGTGGGGTATAGTCTTTGCAAAAGACACCCCTAACTATTTATACATTATAATTATTGAATAATTACAATTAATAAAGAAAAAATTATTAATTGTTCATAACATGATGTCTTGGATCAGTCTGGGCTTCAGTCTTCGAGATGAGGTTGGGTTTCCTATGTTGTAGGCCACTGCACCTTTAACTGCTGGTAGCTGCGTATGGAATTTTTTAAATCTTTTTTTGATGAATTCATCTATTGTTTCCAATTTTAGTTCTCGATGTAGTTGAGCGTTTCTTATGAACCAGGGGGCATCTACTGCAATTCTTAATACCTTGTTTTGAAAAGATTGTAGTTTTTTTCTTTTCGTAGCTGAAGCGGCTCCCCAGACTTCACATCCGTACATTAGCAAGGGTCTTAGTATGGTTTTATGAATAAGAACAGTTGTCTCTGGTTTTAAACTAGATTTTCTATTTACTATGGGATATAACATTGCTAACCTTGCGTATGTTTGGGTCAGTTTATTATTTATATGGTAATTCCACGTAAGGCGGCGGTCCAGATAAACTCCGAGGTATTTTACTGCTTCACTAGCTGGGTTCCATTTTAGTTCTTTATTTTTGAGAATCAGTTCAGGTGGGTCTGAGGGACGTCTAAGAGTAAATATTTTTGCTGTACATTTTTCGGTGTTGAGACAAATCATCCATTTTTTTAAATATTGTTCTAGATTTACTAGGTAAGACTGCAGTGTATTTCTGGCTATTAATATATCATTGTGTTGGGAAAAGACAGCTGTATCGTCGGCAAACATAGCTATGGAGGTGTTTGTGGATTGAATAATGTCGTGAACATAAAAGTTAAAAAGTATGGGAGAAAGAACAGAACCTTGTGGGGTGCCGGCATGGATTTGTCTTAAGGTTGAATTTATATTATTTATTCTAACTGTAAATGTTCTGCCGTTGAGGAATGAGCTCAGAACGTCATATAAATATTTGGGCGTGTCCACTTTCTTTAGCTTGTACAATAGACCACAATGCCAAACCTTATCAAACGCTTGTTGAAAGTCTAAAAACGTGACAAGAGTATGTTTTTTCATTTCAAATCCATTTACTATGAATTCTGATAATCTTGCCAGTTGGTGTGAAGTGGAATGACTATACTGAAAACCAAATTGAAAATCAGGAATAATGCTATTACGTTGTAAAAAGGATGCAAGATGTCTTTTTATGACTGACTCTAGTAATTTTCCAACTATGGGTAATAAACTTATCGGTCTATAGCTACTGACTTGTTTAGTGTTTTTACCATGCTTATGAATTACTACGAGTTCAGCTTTCTTCCACGTTTCGGGAAAATATCCAGTGCGTAGACAGCTATTAAAAATAGACGTAATGTAAACGAGAGCTTTTCTAGGAAAATTTTTTAAAGCAATAACTGGTATAAGGTCATGTCCTGGACTTTTTTTTACTTTGAGACTCCTAATTAGTTCTTGAATTTCTTTAGGGGTTGTGAATTTAATCGGAAGCTGTACAGTTGTTAGGGGCAATTTTAAATAATTTTCAACATCAACATTTGGTGAATGCGGACTTCTTTCGCATTCTGGGTTTGAGAACGTTTTCTCAAAGTAATCTGCAAATGCTTCAGCTTTTTCTGCGTCACTGATGATGTATCCTCCATTCTCTTCCAGACTAGGAATTTTCTCAAATTTGCTTAGTACACGCCGAGTAGCCTTCCACAGAGATTGGTCCTTTGGGTCTAAATCTTTTACGTAATTTTGGTATTTAGAATACACCCATTCATCCAGTTCTTTTTTAATTACGTGTTTGAGGTGGTTCCATGTCTTTTTGTAAGTAGGATCTCTGTTGCGCATCCACTGTCTCCTTGCATGGTTCTTTTCTTTAATTTTTAACAGAATTGATTTTGGGCAACTCCTTGAAAAATTTTTCCTCACTAACTGGAAAGGTCGTACGGTTGCTTCCTGTAGACTATTCGAGATAGACTCATTTAGTTTATTTATATTTTCTTCGATTTCAAGGGCAGTAGAAAAATTATTTTTCAGATTTATTTTCTCAGCTACTAAGATTTTGTATAATTCCCAGTCAATCGTTCCATTAATGAGTGATTTTCGCTTCGGCACTACATTTAGCTCAGTTGAAAAATTAATTAATACAGGGATGTGGTCCGAATTTAAGGCTGTGATAACGTGAGATGAGAGAGGAAGCCTACAGTTTTTGGTGAGTGCAATATCCAAAATATCGGGATTACAGCCTGGTCTATAAAAAGTAGGTTCATTTGGCGTATGGATTTGAATATTGTGCCTAGAACAAATTTCTAGCAAAATATTTCCGCTAGAATTTGATTTACGACAGCCCCAGTAGATGTTTTTACTGTTCATGTCACCTAGAACTAAAGAATGGTCTCCTGATGGCAAGAGTTTTAAAATTTCATCTTGGAGTAGTTTTTTGTTTGGAGGTTTATAAACTGCCGTAACGACTGTAGAGGGAAATGAATGTAAACGAACTGATATGACTTCGATATTTAAAATATTATCAATAATGTTTTCAGTGAAGCTAATATTATTCTTAATTATTAAGGCTACGCCGCCGGAAGCAGTCGAACATTCTCGATCCTTTCGTAGGATTTTGTAACCTTGGATTTTAAATGTGATGTTTTGAGATAGATGTGTCTCGGTTATGCAGGCTATGTCGATGAAATTTGATTCAAGAAAAATTTTAAATTCATTTCTTTGAGATGATATGCCATGCGCATTCCAGTTTAAAATTTTTAATTTTTTTAGTTCTGCAGTCATATATAAAAAATTAATATTTGGAAATAAATTAAATAATACGTGATCTGGAATAATGCGCAGTTAGTCTTGAACGAGTTAGTAACAGATAAGATAGTGTTTACTTTAGGGTCCATTAGTAAATAAAGAAGCTACGAGCGAAGATAGGTGTGTCATAATTTGTGGTAAATACGGTTTGATAGCATCGATAATAATTTTAGTTATTGTTGACAGTAAATTATCGCCGTTTATTTCAATGTTTTGATTAACTGTGGGCTGAGGTTTTCGTTCCGATTGTTTTGTTATCGGTCTAATGGTGTCTGCGAATGACTGTTTTGAAGTAATTCTGGAGGCAGGTCTAGAAGAAATATTCTCACGTTTTTTGACTAGTTGGCTCTACAGGTGAATTTTTTATATTTTGATAATAGACGCAACCCTTGTATGTAGCTGCATGGGCCAATTTACAGTTTACACAAAATGGCTTATCTGTGAATTTTAACGGGCATTTAGAGAAGTGGTGTTTTTCTTTGCACTTAACACACCGGGGCTCTAAATGACAATAATTTTTCGTGTGGCCGTACCTCTGACAGTTGGTACACATGGGGATATCATTTTTCTTGTGTTTAGGTTCGATTGTAATTAAAGCAGAAAATAAATTGTTCAGATTGAAAATGTCATTAGCCGTTTCATTGTTTATAATAGACACTGAGCAGGGAGGAGTAGGTTTCTTATCTTTATTCAATATTCTGGAAACATAAACAACTTCGAACTGTTTGGAATTTAACTCGCCCTTTAATTCATCTTCGGTTATGCTATAAGGGACCTTCCTTATGACAATGTTTAAGTATTTATTTTTATCTGAGGAAAATGTGTGATATTCAATTTTTTCTTCATCGTAATATTTAGTCATAGTTCTGTAGTCTTCAATGGTTGATAGCATTATTTTTATGTTGTTACCGGCCAGTTGCGTATTAAATGGTCCGATACATAATGCATTTAGGTCATTTAATAGAAGTCTGTAATTGTTAGCATTGTGTAAAAATATCGGTGGTATTCTAATATCATTGGATTGAACATTTGGGTTATTTTTATGACTAGTACTTGCTGTCGTGTGCTTATCGGATGAAAGGTCAATTTAAGTAAGATGATTAAAGCTATTGCTTACTTTAATTGGAGCGATTTCCTGGTAGTACTTGCCCATTTTTTTAACTGGTGATCGGGATTGAGGTGAATCAATAGCTTCATGAACTCTCTTCTTAGAACAGGATTCGTCCGTATGTTGGTCTACGTTCGTTTTAGTAGTGAGGGAAACACCGGACGAATCACTTAATTCTTCGCCGGGTTTCATTAATTACATTTAAAAAAAAAAGAAGACGAAATACATGAAATAAAATAAATAAATGAAATATAGAAACAGTCCGAATAACTCCACAGTACAACCGCACTCCATGAAAGTCAGAGGCAAACTGAAAATATATGGGGTTATGACGCTGATATATAAATTGCACTTACATCCCCATCAAATCAGGAAAACTATCCATCGTATCGACAAACACGTTTTATACAAAATGAAAGCTGATAAAATTTTCAATATTATTGATTACATATCTTTTTTCGTTATCTCGCTTAGTTTCCGAGATATCCGTTCTCCGCTTTTGCTAATGTGAAAAACAAATTTTTTTTCCTCATGTTTTTTACTGTATTCAACTCAGATAACTGATCTAACTTTTGAACCGTTGGAGATAATTTAGTAAAATAGTATGTATTCTTGAAGAAAATTTAATTATTAAAAATATTCTTCTTCATGGCTTAATCGTAAAAAGAAGCAATCAAATGTTAGCTAATTAAATTCAGTAAAAAACATGAGGTAACATTTTTTTTTCTCTAGATTAGTGACAGCTGAGGATGGATATCTCGGCAACTAAGTGAAGATAGCGAAAAAAAAAACATTTTATATAAAAATAAAATTGCAAATTTCATCAGCTTTAATTTTGTATAAGAACGGCTTTGTCGATGCGATGGATGGTTTCCCTGATAAAAGCGAAAATTCGAAAAACAGTAATAATCACGAGGCAAAATATTTTTTTTCAAAATTAGCTATAGTTGATAATGGACATCTCAGAAACCAAGTGAGATAGCGAAAAAGTGTATATAATCAATCATATAGCAATTTATATCAGCTTTAATTTTGTACAGAATGTCTTTGTTGATGCGATGGATAGTTTTCCTGATATAAGCGAAAATAAGAAAAAAGTAAAAATAAAAAAATAGCATTCATTGACTGGACTATTAGGATAGTATTAGGTAACTGGAGCTTAGTAATATATATTTAAATGAACAGCTATGTAATTAGTGCTAATAGGAGAACTCCTGTAACTCCCTATGCTCCTAATACTAAAATATAATAAAATATGACATACACTAAAAATTTATTAGATGAGATATTTGTAAAAACTTACTAGATGAGATATTTATCTGCAACTATTACTTTAATGTTATTATTAGTCTAATAAAAAAAACTATTGATTCCAGAAATATATTAACATGAATTGCTGTGTATTATTGCAATTTGTATTATTATTTTTTTCTTTTTAGCACTGCACTCCTAGCACCCCTGTTGTCGTATGGTTCTGGCAGATCGTAGAAAATTTCAGTGAAGAGATGAGAGCACGTCTGTTGCAATTTGTCACTGGGAGTTCAAGAGTACCTTTGCAAGGATTCAAATCTCTTCAAGGTATTTTAATTGAATTGTTTGAATCAATACATGTAAAATGAAAGGGATTATATTTATATTTTAATTTAAAAAAAAAAAAAAAATGAGAAAGATGGAAATAACCCTTAATGGACAGAACATAAAAACCTTATTATACAATTATTCTCTTTCGCACTTCCTTTAGAAACCCTGGGGTGATTTTTTTTTTTATCAATACCTGTCCTGAAATAACCATATCTTTCTTCCAAATCATCAAAAAATTAGTTATCCCTATCCTCAAACAGTTTCTGAGATTCCGTGATTCTCTGACCCTTAAATCCTGTCAGCTCTTATTTTCCTTTCTCATTTTCTCCTACTGATTATGGCAATCTTGTTTACTGTGTACTGTCTGGTTGGGATGAGATTAAACTGAAGATACTTAGGCATTGTTTTAAAAGATTCATCTACGGAGTCTCCAGTAGCTTTAAGTTCCAGTATAAAATATAATTTTCTAGTCATATCTTCTAGGTTCAGTGCCATTTTTTAAAGTTTTTTTTAGAAGATATTAGGCCAAAAGTCACTAAATGTAGACAGTTTTTACATTATGAATGCGTTAGTGAGGAGGAACACTTATAATATCGTCTACGAAAGAGAAGTGAAAAAACGAGATTTGATGAAATAAAAGAATGACAAATCCGACGAATTATATTGTAATGGTACATTTTAAGAAATTTTATGAAGCGGTGCATGTTTGTAGGATCTTGAAAATGGCTCCTGAAGCCGAAACATCGAATAAATAATACATGATGTAAAAACTGTGTACATTTGATGACCTGTGGCCTAGTATTTTATAAAAAACTGTAGTAAAATTTACTTTTCTCTCCTCTCTTCGATATTCTGGAATGAGTTAAATTAGTGTATAACTAATTTTATTTGAATAAATCAACCTATTATTTATTAATTGTATTTCATATGTCTGTAATGAAGGAGGAAGTAATTCATAAAGTTATTAGATCCTCTAATATGATTAGGACAGAAAAATCAATATCATATATGTACATCTTTCTAATACACCACTTCTAACATCAACAATTTAAAGAAAATATACTTCAACTAGAGACTAAATAACTCCCAGACATCTTTTTTAGAGTATTTTATTTTGGATTTATATATTTTCTTTGTATTTGATCTGCATATATATTATCTTGATATTTTCTGTCTTGATCCCTGAATTGTCAAGACATTGTGCTTGAAATCTCCCGAATAGTTTTCTGGTAATTAATTTATGTTTATTTAGTTTATTGAGTCTTTGTTGCCTTATATTAATTTTTTTTTTTTAATTATTCTATCATGCACAAATTTTAGGTTCAACTGGAGCTTCAGGCCCGAGATTGTTTACAATTCATGTAACAGACGGTCCTCAAGAAAATCTACCTAAAGCACATACCTGTTTTAATAGGATTGATTTGCCACCTTACGAGTCGAAAGAAAAATTATACGAAAAACTTTGTCAAGCTGTTGAAGAAACTTGTGGTTTTGCAGTAGAGTAATAGAGGCTTGCCTCTTAAAAAAATTAATTACTTTACGTTCTGATAGTATAAAGTCAGAGTTTTGTGAGTGAGAAGAAGGTTGCCAGACCTTTATTGCTAGTTATTTTATCTATTTATTGCTGCTATGTCCAATCAAAGTTATAAGAATGCTAGTATAAATAAATGACTGACTGTTAAAAAAATAATTAACATTGTTGACCTGCTTTCGTAGTAATTAGGTGATCGTCCGAATTACTGTTATATTATCAGTAATGAGTTTTATCAGTAGTATCAGTACTAAAATCTGCTTATTATTGTTATATTATCGTTGCTGTTAGTTTATTGGATAATTTTCTTTTTTACTATTATTAATTATCCAAGTTTAGAATAAATTGCTATTTAATAGTAGATACCATTAGAATTCTTGATTCGATGAAACAGATCTTACTTTTATATCTGTTACATTTTCTTTCCTTTTATGTATACCGTTGTTGTTATATATTTATTAACGCTTACAGATGTTATTGTTTGCATTTGTCTGGTAACCTTTAAATTTTTTGATGAATGTAAAATCAATTGTGATAATTAATTCTAAATAATTTTATATTCTAAATAAGACAATACAATTAAGTTAAATAAATTGTTTGTTTATAAAACAAATAAAAATAGAATTATATATTTTTTATAATTAAGCAAAATAACCAGCACCTTGTTATTATATAATGAAAGAATCTCTTTTGTGTTGGTATTGTTTGAATTTATAAAACACGTTGAATATTTGATGTGATAATATTGTGTTTTTCTTCTTATTATTTTTTAAAATCAGATGTTAAAAAAATTGATTTTTTTTTTTTTTGTAGTTATTTAACACATTGGTTATATACATTGTATGCATACAGCTAAAAGAAGTTATTTCAAAATGGATTATTTATTTCTTTATTTTTGTTGGAATTACCTTTTTTGTTTTATTATATTTTAGCACTGCACTGAGATTTTCTTTATTTTTGTTTTTGTTAGCACTATATTTTTGTAAATTATTTATATCACATTTTTTATTACTTTTTTAATATGGTTTTAATTTATGCAATGTTAGAGCCTTGGCCACATTTATTATATTTTGTAGATATCTCATGTAAATACGTATAAATATATATTTATATAAATAAATAGATTGTTAATATTTTTATGTCATTTATTATAGATTTATTCTTTCAAGCATTATATACTTGATGAATTGTATATATTTATATAATCAAGTTTCTATTAAACTGCTTATAATGATAATTGGAATGTATTATGACTTATTCAGTACAACATGTATTGCATCTGTGTTCATTACTTGTCGAACGATTGAAATACCAGTCTTTCAGTGGTCAATTATGGCATTTGTTATACTATTCAAAAGAAATATTACAATTTTTGAAATGAATAATTTCAATTTTATTATTTATAATTAAGTTGATACTGAAAATTTACAATAAAATTGAAAAATAAAAGTTTTATACACAGATTCTTGTGTGTTTTATCATTTTTGCTTATATTTCTGATTCCCAATAATGTATGCCTCTTCCCGAAATTAGTCAATTACCCTTAATTAAAATATCTTTCACAAATGAAATAATACTTTCACAATTTCATAAAAATATATTCATCTATAATTAATATCAAATCTATAAATCATTTTGTCTTATTTTGGGTATATAGAAAATCTGAAATATTTGCATTTTTTTTTTTATGTCTAAAAATTAAACTTAAGGCTTAGGCTGGTATCACATTTTAAAAGTTGTTTGATAAAGGTCTAGCTCTAGAAAACTTTTATAAAAGTTGTTTGACAAAGGTCTAGCTCTAGAAAACTTTTATAAAAGTTGTTTTATCATTATCATGGAGAGGTTAGTTGTTAATCATGACCAATAATTGGTGTTTTCTGGCAGTAAAGATGTTATTATTGAAATATCTATGGTTTAAATTCAGATGAGAGAATTGTTTTATGAATTTTTTTAATTGATTAATTTTATTGAAAAAAATGAGATAACATTATTTTAATAAGATCGAAACATTATTGTTATAATATATATATATTATATATGTAAATCTCTCCCTACAACTAATCATGGAGGTGTAAATAGTAATTGTATTAATTCACACTCCTCACTAGTAATTGTATTAATCCACACAGGGGACCTCCAGACTTGCTGGAGGTAGGGGCCCACCAGACTTGCTGGATGGTGTGACGTAGGATTGAACGCCCTACTCACATATCTTTAGTTCACCAAACACCACAAAAAGTCATGGATCTCCCTAAGGTAAAACGCTCATTATCCGGAGGTAAACTAGTCCCCCGTTCGGGTCTCCAGGTGGGGACTGCTTTAGGGGATTCATGGTGCAAGTTGAAATATAGGGATTTAAATATTGGTACGTGGAACGTAAGGAGTTTAAACACAGCAGGGGGGCTAAAATCGGTCGCGAATGAGGTAAATGGGTACAATTTGGATGTCGTGGCTCTGCAAGAGGTTCGCTGGCCAGGGGAGGGCTCGATGAGGGAAGGAAAGTACACTATTTGGTACGGAGGAAGCGGGAATCATTGTTTGGGTACCGGGTTTCTAATTAGGAGTAGATTACTATCCGCTTTGAGTGACGTACAATTCTTTAGTGATAGAATTTCGGTAGCTACATTTCAGGGACGTTGGTTTAAAATCGCATTAATAAACATACATTGTCCGACCGAAGACAGTGACGATGAAGTCAAAAGTGAATTTTACGATAAACTCGAATGGGTTTATGATAAACTACCGCGAAACTACATGAAAATAATTGTAGGTGACGCGAACGCAAAGGTAGGAAGGGAAGAAGTTTATATTCCGACGATTGGTAAAGAAAGTTTGCACGAATATAGTAATGATAATGGGATCCGTCTGATAAACTTTGCCATCTCGAAAAACCTGATAATTAAAAGTACGACGTTTAAACATAAGGATATTCATAAATATACTTGGACATCACCGGATTCGCAAACACGAAATCAAATCGATCATGTCTTGATACAACATAGCTGGCAAAGCAGTATTATTAATGTACGGTCTTATCGCAGAGCAGAATGTGGGTCGGATCATGAATTAGTAATCGCGAAACTTCGACAAAAACTTAATATAAAAAAGAGAAAAGAAAACCGTTTCGATTTTGAGAATTTTAATTTGGAAAAATTAAAAAATCCATCAATTAGAAACCAATTCGAGCTAGATGTTAACAATAGGTTTGAAGCTTTAGAGCTTCCTGACGAGGACCACGAGGATATTGACAAGTTATGGATAGAGATCAGGGATAATATTAAAGCGGTCGGTAACTCGTGTCTAGGAAAAAAGGAAAATAAGAATAACAAACCGTGGTTTGATGAAGATTGCTTAAACATGTGTGAAAAAAGAAAAGCCGCTAAATTAAAAGCTCTAAATAATCCTAGCGAAGACAATCTGGAATACTTCCGAATCTCAAAGAACGAAACGACAAAATTGCTCAAAAATAAAAAAAGGGAGTATCTTAAAAATAAAATAATTGAAATAGAAACTAATAGAATCGAAAATAACGTAAGAGACATGTACAAAGGTATAAACAGATCACGTAAATATGTAGGGCCCGTAACGTCTGGAATTAGGGATGATAATAACAATATTCTGACCGATCCGGTTGACATATTGAATAAGTTTAAGGACCACTTTGACAATATTTTAAATACGGGAAATTATGATCTGTGTCCTCCTTCTGAGTACCAGAGTGCTGAACCGTTAATAGAAGGACCAAGTAAAGAGGAAGTTGAAGTAGCTATCGGAAAATTAAAATCATATGAAGCAGCGGGAATCGATAATATTCCTACTGAACTAATTAAGGCATGCGGGGAAGCTGGAGTTTCTAAAATACATCGGTTGGTTAAAAAGATCTGGGTGAACGAGAAATTACCTGAAGAATGGAAAGAATCTATTCTTATTCCGATTCTAAAAAAAGGGTCGAGGACAGATTGTAATAACTATCGAGGAATTTCACTCCTTCCGGTATGTTATAAAATATTCACTTCAATCTTAACCAGTCGAATCACGGAATACGCCTAGGAAATTATCGGAGACTACCAATGCGGATTTAGACGCTATCGTTCGACAATTGATCAAATATTTTCTTTACGGCAAATATTAGAGAAAAAATTGGAGTATAACGGTATTATTCACCAGCTGTATATAGATTTTAAAAAGGCTTACGATTCTATTGACCGCCAGAAACTGTATAATATTCTAATCGAGCAGGGGATTCCAAAAAAACTAGTAAATCTAGTCAGGATGTGCTTGACGGAGACACTCAATAAAGTTAGAATCGGTAATAATTTGTCCGAAAAATTTGAGGTTCGTTCGGGCTTAAAACAGGGGGATTCTCTTAATTCTCGTCTTAAGGTTTTTGAAAATAAAGTATTGCGTAGAATATTCGGACCGAAGAAGGATGAGTTAACCGGAGAGTTCAGACGGTTACACAACGCCGAATTGCATGAGCTGTATCCGGATAATATAATTGAGGTAATTTCATCGAGGCGAATCAAATGGGCTTGTAAAGTTGTTGGGCTTAGTAACGAGAGAATTCCTAAAAGGTTAATATTTGCTGTGCCGAATGGTAAGCGTCCGAGGGGTAGACCGAAGCGAAGGTGGGAAGATTGCATTAAGGCCGATCTGAAGGGACTGGGTTTGGACGGTGAACGGTGGAGGGAGGTGTGTAACAAGCGATTGGTGGTGTCGGCATCGAACCTTCGGGTTCGCTAAGCCTTATTATTATTATTATTATTATTATTATTAATTCACACACCTTCCTGCTCCAAATTTATGTTTTAAAACTTGTAAAGATCAAGATCCATCATACAGACCCACCAGCTGCTCCCATTATGTTCTAAAATCTTTCAGAAACTTCTTTACAAACGACATCTTGACATACTGACTAACAAAAACATAACTGGACATCAATTTAGATACCCTTCACACCATTCAACCATTCATCAATTACACCAAGTGACGGACTACATAGCGACAGCACTTGAGGACAAATTATATGCATCAGGAGTTTTTCTGAATGTTGCTCACGCTTTCGATAGAGTCTGGCATCAGCGACTTCCTTTTCAAACTTGACGTTACGAAAAGACGATACTCCCTCCAACCTACTATCTAATTCTTCAATCTTTTCTTTGTTTGAGATTTTTCTCTGTTTGCCAAGGTACAGAAGTGAACCAAGCTTGGCAGGAGTTCCTCAGAGGTCAGTACTCACCCCTCTGTTGTATATCATTGGCACATATGATATTTCAGACATTGTCAATACTCAGACTGTGACCTACGCAGACAATACAACAATCTTCACATAACATCAAAATTCAATCTACGTCTCACAGACTCTAAAATATCACCTATACAAATCCACAACTGGTATAAACTCTGGAAAATAAGACTAACCATGACAAATCATCAATACATATCACTTTTACCCTTCGACTTGAAACTTGTCCTGCTATTTACCTTGACAATGTCCAAATTCCTCGGACAGACAAAGTTCAATATCTTGGACTAACATCTGACAGAAGGCTGACATGGGGCACACATATCAAGAACAAAACAACAAGATTTATATGAACATTGGGCATTTAAGCCCTGTAAAAGTTACATCAATGGGGATAAACCTAATTAATATTAAATACCACTTAATTATACAATGATACACCAAGTTTAATCCAAATTGTTAGAACTGTTTTTGAAAAAATTGTATAAATGTCTCTGAACCTTTCAGTTGACAAAATGACTAACTCCAATTTCAACATTTTTGAGTAGTGTCATTGTAGTGATATTTTTAATTGGAAAAGTTATACACGCACCCCTCTCCCCTGGTTGATGGGAAAAAGTTCCAAAAAGTAGCTATTTAAAGAAAAGAGAAATATAGGAAAAATTCATCCTCATAGACAAATTTTCTAATGTAATATAAATAACAATTATTATCATTACTAGCACCAGTGATTTCTGCCTGGGGTATCGTAGTCTACTCTGGATTCTGGAAAAATAATTCCGAAAAAAAATACTAGAAAAACAGTCATTTAAAGAAAAGAGAAATACAGCAAAAATAATCCTCTAAGACGAATTTTCTAAGTTGTTCATCATCATCATCTCGAGCTCAACAATCCATTACTGGATCTTGGCTGCCTCAAGAGTTTTCCTCCATGTTTCCTTCTCCTGAGCAGCCCTCCAACAGTTCCTGATTCCAAGAATAATGGCCTCAGCACTTACTCCATCTTTCCAACTCGGCTTCCGTCTGCCTACATTTCTTTTTCTACCCCGCTCCATACTGAGCAGCTTCTTTGGGTTTGAGGTCTCCTCTATACATACAATGTAGCCGGCCCATCTCAGCCTTGGTATATGGATATATTTCACCACATCCGGCTTCTTGTAAAAGTTGGCTAGTTATTGTTTGCGTCTAATTTTACATTCATCATTCTCCTTAATTGGGCCAAATATCTTCGGAAGGACCTTCCTTTCAAAATCTAATATTTTACTCTCACTGGCATTCTTCAGTGTCCCTGTTTCACATTCGTGTGTCAAAACCGGTCGTATATGGACTTTGTACAAGAGAAGTTGAGTTGCTCCTAGTAGCGAACGAAATTTCTAAAGTTCAATTAAAAAATAATTATCGTGACCAGTGTTAGCGGATCCAACCGGGGGGTGCGCCCCTCTCTCTCTCTCTCTTGGATGTAGAAAAAAAAGTTCGAAAAAGCAGTTGTTTAATGAAAAGAGAAATATTGGGGAAATTCATCCTCATAGACGAATTTTCTTTGTAGTATTAAACAAAATTATTATCATGACCATTTTTATTTATCTTACATTTTGTCATATCACTTTACCTCACCTGACTGGATCGATTAGCGCCCCGCCCCGCCTTTGGCGCACGGCGAGATTTTGTTAACAAAGAATGAAATGAAATGAAAAAATAATTTTATTCTGGGACTACTGTCCCCCAAGAATAATAACAGAGTTACAAATTTATGGATCCTGGTCTGACATAATAAAAATACAAACTAAATTACTGTTAATTGTTATTTCAATTGTGCAATGGATTGAAATTAAACATTGTACAGATGCAAGTAATTTTACATGCTAGGGGAAGTTTGAATGTGGAGTAGGTGTTGGAACAGGAGTTGTTTGAAGGAATTTATGGACGAGGATTGACGCATGGAGGTAGGAAGTGAGTTCCATAAGGAAGGTTTAGCGCTGAAGGAGGAAGTTTTATGGGAGGGAATATATAAGTCTATATATCATTGGTGAAAAATATTCAGGACGCAGTCTTTTTTAATTTTTTTTTATTTTTGCCAACGTTTCAACCCAAACATGTGGGTCATCTTCAGGGCGTGGTTTGAGCACTGAGGTTGTTCATGTACTCAAGCACTGAGGAGTACATGAACAACCTCAGTGCTCAAACCACGCCCTGAAGATGACCCACATGTTTGGGTTGAAACGTTGGCAAAAATAAAAAAAATTTAAAAAAGACTGCGTCCTGAATATTTATCACCCATGATATGTAGAACAGTCGACTAACTTCCTTCAAGATATAAGTCTATAGGTCGAGACCTAGTATTGAGAGAGCGGATAGGGGAGCGTAGAGTAAGGAGTTCCAGGATGTAGGGAGGGTTTTTGGTTCTGAAGACTTGGAAAAGGAAAACACCTAGGAGGAATTGTCGTCGGGAAGGATAAAGCCACTTCAACTCGGTGTACCAGAGTGAAACATGTGAACGCCTGGGGATCCCGAAAATGTATCTTATGAAACAATTCATGTGTCTCTTTGGTCTCATTTCCAGCCTGGCAGATAGCCCTCCATACACCAAACAGCCGTGGCAGCAACTTTTCCCTTAAAATCGGCTCACCGGAAGTGCCAGTTTATATCAGCGGTGAAACACTTTTTTTACAATTTTCTCAAAAACGGCTCTAACGATTTTGATTAAACTCTGTTTATCACTGTATAATTAAGTGGTCTTTAATATCATTTAGGTCGTATCCCCATCGATGTCACTTTACAGGGCTTAGATGCCCAATGTTCATATTCGTCTTCCTCTTAAGTACCTTTAATATGGTTTATTTTAAATAGTTAACTATCTCTCATTATTAAGAGTTACAAAAAAATGCTTATACAGGTCGAAAATGAATTGAAGAAGTAATAGTCCTACAATCTATAATCTTTTATAGGTTAAATATTCACATATACTTTCAAACCTCTCTTGGCAGATATGAACCTTTTGGTTGACAGAATGACTAACCCCAATTTCAACATTCTTTATTATTAATTTTAGTGGCAAAATTTATACATTTATTCACAGTTCTATATTTCAACACTGCAATCACATACTCTGGAATCAACTTACTGTCTGTATAAATAACTTTTTCAACTAGAAATATCACTAAAATAACGTTACTCAAAAATTTTGAAATGGGAATAAGTCATTCTTTCAACTGAAAGGCTCAGAGACTGAAGTTGTGTGGTTTATAAAAGCAGATGGAGTAATTAGATTTTTATTGCCTACCGTCGATATAATAAATAGACTGCGTGATTTGTTTTCTGTAAGCTTTAAGCTTTAGCTCCGTTTAAAATGCACTTCAAAAATTTTATAATAGCCCAGCATTGTCAGAAAACAATTTCTATTCAAAGTAGAGCGGTAAGTGAAAGCTGTGTATTGCGCGTACCAGATTTTTTTGTACATGATACAAATGTGGTTTCTCATTGTCTTGGATACATTCGTAATCAGTGTACATATCAAAGCGTGACGGCTCAATCACATTCACTACCCACAAAAAAAGTGCAAAGCGCGCTATAAAAGTTTTCACTTAAATTGCTGTATTTTAATGATAGCGTTGTATGGTAGTTTTGATAACAATAAACAATTAAAATAATAAAAAATTCTCTTAATCAATTTAAATTCAAAATGTTAAACATGTCAAAGTTCTAAATTTCCTCTTCTAAATGATAAATAATATTTCACTACAAGTTTAGAATCATTTAAATGGAACGTTCATCTATTTTCACATCTAACCCTGGGCCCACACTACAGGCAAATCGAGGCAAATTCCCGCATTTTGCCTCAGTTTTATGGCAGTTTGCCCGAGTTTGCTAGCGCCACTGTAGTAGAGAACAAAGGAAAGGGCGAGAGTGGGAGGAGGTGGTGGGGATATTTTGACCTGCTGGTGGAAGGTAATGGGCTGTTTACCCCGGTTTGTTGCATATCCATCCGGAATGGAAAACTTAGGCAAAATCCAAGCAAGTTTTGCATTATGGCCGTTGCGCTGCGCTAGTGATGCATTGAATAGCCACTGTGATTGGCTGAGACAGAAACTTCCGTTTCCCGCATTTTTTTTGCAATATCCGAAATAAAAAAAAATTAGTGCGCACAACACACAACTTTCACTTACCTTCTACTTTGAATAGAAATTACTTTCTGGAAATGTTGAGCAATTATAAAATTTTTGAAGTGCACTTTTAATGGGTCTATAGCTTTAAGTTTACTGCTAATAAATCATTAACATCACTAAAATAACAGAAACCCTATTAATTATATCAACGGTAGATAATAAAAACCTCCCTACCCCATATTTTTTCGTAAACCACATAACTCCTATCTCTGAGCAATATACATATGTCTAGAGAGATTTTAAAGTATATCTCTATATTCAACCTATAAATGATTATGGATTCTACCCCTATTAGTTATTAAACTGTTATTTTCCATTGTAAAATTTACTACAAAGATATTATGAGATTTTCATCGCCTATCATAGATAGCTCAAAAGTTTTTATACTAATTTAACAAAGGGAAAATTCATCAAATTACTCACTAATTTAATTTTTTTTAAATGTTATACGACGACCAACGGACGTTGATACCTAATTATTTAAATATAATATCAGATTTAGAATTATTAAAACTATAGTAAATGTATTTAAGGTTATAAACATAGGCTTTATACATCCATGAAATATTTTTATATTTCACTTCTTTCACATTAGTACTATGAAATAGCTTTTTTAACAATTACATTGCGTTGATTAGGTGAATTTTAAATAGTTTTTTCAAACTTAAAAACAGTTTAAATTTAGTTAGTAAATTTCATTTATTTAATTTCCTTGAAAAAATGTGATTTCCGTTAAACAATATTAGTTTACACAAATTATTATTTATAATAATCTCTCTCCATTACTTTCTATATTTCATATTGTTTTTTTCTAAAATTATCCGCTTTCCAATGATATAACTTCTGACAAGTATTGCCGGTAATTCATTTTCATCCTCAATACACATTTTCCCTTTTTTCTCCATTTTTCAATTATCAAATTCTTTCAAAAGTTATATTTAGCATTTTTTCGTAATTCTTAATAATGAGAGATGGTTAATTATTAAAAATTAATCAAATTAAAGGTACTTTAGAGGATGAAATGTTGAACATTTAGGCATTTAAGCTATGTAAAGTGACATTAATGGGGATAAGACCTCAATGATATTAAAGACCACTTAATTATACAATAATACACGAGTTTAATCAAAATTTTCTGTGCAACCAGCTTTCTGTCTTTCAGTAATAACAAACAAATCATTATAAACTACAAAAATTAAATGAAGATATTATTTGCCATTAAATGAATTATGGAAGTTTGTTAGCGGAAGGGTTCATATAAATAAAATTAAATAAGATATAATGAAATATAACATATATTTTTGAACATTTTTACATAATATATTTTAAATAACAAAACTTTTAATCCATTATTTGTTTTTCCCATTTTTCATTACTTATATATATTTATTTGATTTATTATATTTCCATATATTTGCTATTTGTACTTATCATCTTTTTGAGTGTCAGGTATATATATCATAACCTTTCGTACTTATTCATTACCTTTTATTATCATAAACTAAGTTTTTGTTAATTCATCTAATTACATTTTATTATTCATATATAATTATTCCATTTTATGTTTCTTCTTCATTTAATACTACTCTTCATTGTTTATTTCCGTTTTATAGTTGAATTGAAATACTTTATAAAACCAATTATGTCAAGTTCCACTTTTGGTAATATTATTTCAGCCAACAATTTGCCCTAACATCGCTGCCATACTCCTATCTACCTTAATAAATAAGTATAATCACTGAACTTTTCATTTTTTAGCTAGATTCTGCATTTACACAAAAAAACCATTAAGCAAAAAGTTTTTTTATGTTTTTGAAAACTCAGAGTTGAAATTTTTAATGATCCCAATACTTCGCATTACATTAAAATAAAATAATATCCATTTTCACATATTATTTAGTCAATATAAAAAAAAAAGTTCAAAATTTATTTATTTTTTAACCTATGCTTATTCTACTTTAGAGAGTTGAAAACAAGTATTCATTATTTTTTTTAAAATGATCAGTTTATCAGTTTCTTTTTTAGTGCCCATATTGGTATCGGTCTGTCAACTAATTTTACATTTCACAGACATTAGTGTTAATCTATATATGTTTTTTTTTCTCTTTCTATATCTTCAGTTCAAATAAAACCGAACAACTCACAAAATTACTAACCTAGACTCTAATAAAGTTGCATTAATAACATTTTAAGCACATATTGAAACACCATAAATACATTACTATATTTGTATATGAGAAGGAGTTAGTTGAGGGTGCGGTCAAATAAATAAAAAAATTAAAAAATATAAATAATTTTAATTTTTGCCGACGTTTCGACCCACTTTGCAGGTCGTCTTCAGGGCTACAAAAGATACAAACATGTTGAAAAAATAAAAATAAAATAAAAAATAAATATAAGTATATATAAATTACGAAGAAGTTGTCAGATACAGAAATAAAAGATAAGGAAAATAAATACATGATAAGAAAATAGATAAAAGAAAATAAAAACATGAATGTTAACGAATAAATGAATGTTCATTTATTCGTTAACATTCATGTAACGAATAAATTAAAATTATTTATATTTTTTAATTTTTTTATTTATTTGACCGCACCCTCAACTAACTCCTTCTCATATCATATAAACGGTCAACCATCTCTACATTACTATATTTGTAATTAAATGACTGTATCATGGTTAGAGACTAACATCATACAGTGCCAATTTTGATGCCTACTTCAATAAATAATCAACCATCCTAAGCCTAAAAAAGTTATATTTGTATAAAACATTGTCTGATTAAAATAACAATTAAGTCTAAGTGTGGAAATTTTAACCACATAGTGAGACTGCCTTTGTTTTGTTATTCGCATTTTTAATTTTAGAAATTTGACATATACCTATCATTTATTGGTTATTTACACACAAGTTGTAATATATATGTTTGAAGGGAAATGATGGAAGATGTTATTTATAATACATAAAACCCATATATTTACAAAATATAATAAATCATATACATAAACTAAATTTAATAATTATAATGTTGCTAGAAAACTAATCTTTATATCTTAACTTTGTTATTATTATACAAAATAGAAATTCTATTAATGAACAAATAAATAATTTTAGGTTCAAATATACAATACAAAATATAAATGAATTAATACAACATTTCAAACTAAACAAATTAATGAATACAAGATATGTTTTTGTTTATACAAAATCATGAATAAAGGAATATAACATTACAGATAAATCATTTTTAAATACATCAGAAAAAGCTGAATAATAACTAATGATTATTCTAATAATTTACTGGATTATTCTCCATCTTCTTCAAACACCTTTAAAAAGGCTTTATTAATAATATCTCTGTTTGGAGGAACAACCTTACTAATATTTACAGAAAAAGTGTCTGTTTTATATTTTTTTCAAATATAATCATATATTTGTTTCAATATTACAAATATTTTTACTCCGCACACATCTTCCCCAAGCCTCGTTCCATTTCACATATGCACAAACTTTGTTCTGCTTGAGGTAATTGGTCCAACCTTTCTCCTAACATGGACCCATAATTCTGAGCAATTGTTTTGGGTTTATTTGTATTTCTGCACTGTTTTTTTATTATTTGGACGAGTTTATTAAACGGGGCCATAATTTCCTCTTCACCTTTGTTTGATTTTTTTTTTTGTCTTAGGCTGCAATACATACCGTTGTTCAATAAAGATAAATCATCGAGTACTTCAGCCTGTCCTTCATCTTCACACTCAACAGTAGGGGAACGCTGAAAAAAAAAATTACCAATTTTAAGCCTGGTATCATCCAACTAAAAAATCAGATATTTTAATTTCGTTATAATTTTTTCCCTTCTATTTTTTGCCATGCTTATAACACACTTAGTTGAGATTTTCATTTTTAGAGGAGGGTCTATGTCTGGCACACTTTAAGACTAAATTTTACAGAGAACAAATAAAAGCTATGTAACATTTACATTAATAATGAAAGTCGAGGAAAAAACAGAACTAATCCTTAATTGAAATAGGAAACAATGGAATCAAATTCATAACAGAAGAAAATAAATAATTTGTTATGGGTAAACAGATAATGTGGAGGAAACAAGACAGAATGGCTAAGGCATCATAGGGAATTTTCTCTTTATAGTCATTACCCTATGTACATTGTTTTGCTATATGAAAAAATATAAAAAAAATAACTTAATCATAGACTAGGAGGGATATCGAAAACTAACAATGAACTTCCAATTAACTAAATATAAATAACCAGTTAAATGCTAAATAATTAACACCCCTTGTCCATTGTTTCCTTTGCGATGATGTACTTAAGTTGGACGTTAGAAAAGAAAATAGAACTAAATTAACTTACTACAGACTTAATTGATTATTTGAATTGAAAAATAATAAAGTAACACTTGCAAACTTAGTAAAAGAGGAATTAACCATTCACTAAATTGTAAAAAATGTCTATACAATAAATCAATCAAATAACCTCATAAATAAGTGGAGAAAAGAATTTTTAAATGCATTCCTTGAATAAAACAATTGAAAAAATATTGGCAGCTCATTGCAAAGTAATTAAGTGAAAATTCATTATTTCTTTAAGTAATCAAGAACATTGAATATCTTTTTCTTTATAAAATCAGAAAATTGTGTGCTTCTTGTAAGTATAATTGATGTATAAAAGGGTTTGTTTCATTTCCATGCCCATACAGTGTTTTTGTATAGGTAAATAAAGTCAAAATTCATAAAAAAAAATCTTAAAAGTTAACCTATATCAAATATGCACATAGTGCATGAATTGAATGCAGTAAACGGAGGATATATCAAGAATTTTCACTGGTTAGAGAATTAATAATTGATTATGTTTAAGGGAAGGAAATTGACAATCCTAGCAATTGTGTGTGAAAAATTACATAAAATCGCGTTAATTAGCTTTACAGAAATATATTTTGAAAAACAAAGTAAAATGTATTTATAGAGAAATGTCATGGCAAAGAAATAAACAACTGATATTAATAAAGAAAACTAAGATCAATTTTATGCTTACCTTGTATGATTCTCATGAATTTTCGACATCTGCCATCTTCTTTGTTTTCTCCACTTATTTTCTTCTACTTGCTTTTTTTATAGAAGACATAACCAAAAGTAGCAGTCAATCCCACGGCAATTCCAGAAGGGCCATGTTGTTTAGTTGGACTGTCTCCGTCCTACTGAGCACATTTTCCATGGTTAACGAGCTTCGATTAGTTCCTTAATTTGCCGCAAGTTTGCCAGAAAATTTGCCAAACCGAGTTTGCCTGTAGTGTGGGCCCAGCATAACCAATTACTTAGATATCGAGATGGGATCTGGTGAATTATTGCATTGCATGGGAAATGATAACTCTCTGTCACGCATATTGTGACGTATTTTCTGATTCGGCTTATTCGAACGCGATATAGTGCAATAATTTCAACTTCACCAAGTACGAAAATTGATCAGAACTAATACTAATTGCAGTAATTATCTCAAAAAAGTGGGAGTGGTCAGGTTTCATTGACGTAGGTTCAGCATTGGGTAGGTGATAATGGTTATGCCAGAAGCCAGTGGTGTTCCAAGAAAATGTACTTGTTGCTTCTTAGTTATGTTTGATTTATATTGATAACATCATTAGTACGATGGCTTTTGTACCTGGATCAGCATCACAGCCAACTGCTGAAGTTGAGCTTTCAATTTCCTGCAGGTAATTTTGTGATTTGATTACTAGTAAACTTATGTCCTTGTAATGTTTGACTCCAAAATAATCTTAAATCTCTCAGTAATGATAAAATTTACATAATTTTCTTTATATTGACTAGTACTGTGATTAAGCTCTAAAATTAAAAAAAAAATATCTGTTTATTGTTTTAGATCCTTGCAAGGGATGGATCTTCTGTCCAAATCAGATCCAATGTGTGTTACATACATCCGTCCATTTGGAGAAAGCCGCTGGGTAGAATACCATCGAACTGAGAGAATCTCAAACTGTCATGATCCACATTTTGTTTCTAAGATACATATGGTGTATAGATTTGAAGAGCAACAGCCTTTAAAGTTCGAGATGTATGATTGCGATTCACCGAGTACCAACCTGGCAGATCATGATTTCCTCGGGTTTGCTACGTGCAATTTAGCTCAAATTATCAATGGAGGAAAGGTACCCTACGTTGTAAGATATTTCATTTCAAGTAGTTGGTACGTATCAATTTTTAACTTATTGAATGAAACAGTTTTATTCTTTTATTTATTATTTTCAAGCTTGAAATGTTGCTGCAGCCTAGAGAAAAGGGACATTATCTCAATTCCAACTCTAACTTAGGGTATATACAAATAATGGCAGAAGAATTACAGACCAACAAAGATGAAGTTACCTTCAAGTTCAGTGGCCACAAGTTAGATCGGAAAGACTGGTTTGGTAGATCGGACCCATTTTTAGAGCTGCACAAGTCTACAGAATCTGGAATGTATACTTTGGTTCATAAGACAGAGGTTGTATTATGTTTTATTATAATTGGATATAAGAGTTGTTAATGTACGAATATGGTAATTTTTATGTTTATTTGATGCTTTAGGTAATCAAATTCAATTTAAATCCTAGATGGAATGTGTTTACCCTGCCTGTAAGATCAATATGTAATGGAGATTATGAACGAAGTATTAAAATTGTTTGCTATGACTGGAATCGAAGCGGCAACCACAGTTTAATTGGTGAGTTCTACACTAACCTAAATTCATTGTTAGATGAAACATCATCGAGGCGTTTTACATTAGTCAATCCTGAAATACAGGTAAGCCCAATTTATTATTTTCTTCAAAATTTATTTTCTAATTATTTTTATTGAGCCACCATCAAAACGCTGCGATTATTATCCTGTTATTTGGGTATTTGTTTATATGCTACTAATTCACAAGTGTCACTCTATCATTTCAACTGGGTCAATATCACATCGGTCACACTACTGGAAATCTGTGAGTGACTAAGTGTGTTGGAAAGTAGACTAAGGCGACCAATGCCCCTATTTATGCCCCATCAACTGTTTGTTTATCACTTTTAAACAACTGCATCCATCTAATCAAAGCATTAGTAATTCCAAAAATTCTTCTAATAATTCTAGTAAACCCAATTAACCTACATTGTGATAAATGAGGTTGTAAACATGACTATGGTTGTAGATACTTGCCGTTTTCGGAATTCTATAATAATCTATTGTGTGATCAATTGGATTTTGGTCCAGTCCCTCATGTTGAAGTGATTCTTGTTAACTTTTAATGGTTAATTTTTAATGCTTCTAATCTCCAATTTATCATAAACTGTTAATTAAATGTTGGAATGTGTTGGTAGGTGGAATGTATTTCTTTGCTCCGTTATATAGATTAATATATCTACCTTTTTGAGTAAATTTTATGGTTTTATTTTTTACACTTCATTACCTTTGCAATCTGGCTAAAATAGTAACCACTCATTTTGTATGGCTAAATAAAATATAATTATTTAAAGAATACAAATAAAATGATTAATGAAAAAATTCACAATCAGTTAAAAATTTTCCTTCATTTCATCCTATGAGGTGACTTATTGCTGTGAGGTGAATCACTTCCTACATATTTTCCTGGTTTTAAAATTGAATATTTTATTTGACAACTCTTAAAAATAATTTATTATACAGTAAGAGAAATAAATTAGTGTTGTTTAAACATCTCTAAATAATAATTTATGTTAAATTAAGTATTGTATTTATCTATGTCAAAATGATTTGATTAGCCATTATTACTAGAAGAAAGAAAATAAAACTTTCTGATGTAAAGCTGTCTCAGATTAATTCATCGGTCATGAACTACTTGTAATATCTAAGAATAAGTGAATGTAAATTAAATACTTGATATCATTAAATAGATATCCAAAAGATATATCAACAAAATATTACTTACCATCTGAGCTGAATTAAATCAGCCAATATAATAGAACTAACAATTAACTTTAAAAACTCCTGGTTACAATCAAGAGTCTCAGTGCTCACTGGTTGAAAATTCATACATTTAAGACATGAATGATCACTGGAACCAGTAATCGGTAGCAGCCTCAGGCTTCAGTCAAAGACCATAAATAAAATAAAGTCAATTTCTAGTTTTTTGTATGAACTGTTTTGTCAAATTGAACAGTGTCCTATTAAAGAGTCAAGAGGAAAACAAGTTGTGGTGTGTTAAAGTTGAAGGTTTATCTCAAGTCATTAAATGATTTGTTCTAAACAGTATCATTATTAACAGTATTAATTACTTTCTCTGTATATTTTATATTTACACGTATTTATATCTTTTTATTACTTATAACTTTATTGTATTCCTAATCAACCTGTAAATATTAAACTGTATTTTATGGACACACCAAAATATTAATATATATTCTGTATTTGTAACTTGTTCTAAAGGAACACTAGCCCCAGAATAATAAAATTATTTTCATTCATTCATTCAGTAATGACAATGGAGTGAGATGTATCAATCTGGCAGCAGCTAAAGGTTTAGTTGTCAGCAGTACAATGTTCCTGTACATGGATATACACAAGTACAGCTGGGTTAGCTTTAAAGGAGCAAAAAAACAAATTGACCATTTGCTGGTAGACAAGAGATATCAGAGCTCAATACAAGATGTAAGAAGTTATCGCGGAGTAGAGTGTGATTCGGATCACTCTCTGATTAGAATTAAATTGTCTGAGATTGAAGCGAATTCACACAACAGGGGATCAAGTGGAAAGAAGGAGGTATGAAGTCCATAATTTGAAATATCCTGAAGTAAAAACCAAATTCCAACTTGAGCTGAAAAATAAATTCGAATAGCCTCGCGATGGACCAATACTGGGAGGAAATAGAGAAAAAACTAAAAGAAACAGCTAAGGGAGTGATCGGTATTCAGGAGAAACAAAAAGCTAAGATATGGTTCACTGAAGCATCTGAAAAGGCAGGAGACTAAAGAAGAAAAATGAAAGCCCTCTGCCTAACTACACCTGATCAAGTTGCTCAGGGCAAGTACACAGCTGTCAAGAAAAAGGCAAAGAAAACTGTAAGATCGCCAAAAAGGGAATTCCTCAAAGAAAGATTGCAAATTTGGCAGGCTGGAGACATACGCGAATTCTACACAGACATTAGGAAAGAAAGGGTAGGATATAAAGCAAGAAATAACCAAAGGCGAAGAAAATATGGCATTCTGACGACATCTAAAGAAAGTATATTGAACATCTGGAAAGAAAATTTCCAGAAACTTTTCAATCAAGGAGACCCCATGAACGTACAAGACGTGGACCACACTGAGGACCTTGACCAAGAAGCGGTTGAAAAAACAGATATACGGGATATAGAAATAGCTATCGAAAGGCTCAAAACAAGACAGGCCTCAGAGATAGACAACGTTACCATCAGAACTGTTTAAAGATGGAGCAGACGACTTACGAACCAAACTACTACAACTAATCCAGAAAAAATGGGAAGAGGAAAGGATACTTGAGACTTGGAAAATGGGCCTAATCTGTCCTATCCTAAAGAAAGGCTCCATGTATGAGTGTAGTAATTACAGAGGCATAGCACTGTTTCCTGTTGTCTACAAGATAATGACCAGTATCCTACTAAACCGTATATATCCGTAATACAAGAATATAATTGGCGACCAGCAAACTGGATTCAGAAAAGGGAGAAGGAGCACTCTAGACCAGATCTTCATTCTAAAACGAGTATTTGAAAAACCATGGGAAGTAGCTCAAGACGACCACGCCCTATTTATCTATTTCGAAGCAGCCTGTGATTCTATGAAGCAGTCTTTAGAAAATCATGACTGAACCTGGAATTCCCGGTAAGTTGGTGAGATTGGCCAATGCGTGTACAAATGACCCCAAATAAAGAGTCATGGTACAAGGAGAAGTATCTGAAGTCTTCAAAGTTCGAACGCTCTTATGGCAGGGAGATGGATTATCACCGATGTTGTTCAACTTAGTGCTGAAGAAAGTAATAAGAGCAACATCACAGGAAAACGGAGAAGTCCACGTCGGAATGAATCATAAAATCCTTGGATACGCAAATGATATTGAGACATTGATAAACTCGCTACAACACTGATAAGAGAGGCAGAGCAGATCGGCCTACAAGTAAATGAAGACAAAACAAAATATACGAGAATAAGCCAAAAATTCCACCCAACAGGATCTGCGTAGAAGGAAAATCATTCCTGAGAGTAGAAAAATTCAAATACCTCGGCTCCACAATAATTTCAATGAATGACCAACAGGCAGAAATAGACCAACGTGTAGCTAGCACAAACAGAGCTTCCTTCTCCCTCTCTGAGATATGGACATTGTGAAAAATCTTCCACAGTCAGAAAAATCTTAAGAAATCTCAAACTAAGTATGTACAATGTTATGAAAAAGCCAGTTCTAATATATGGCTGTGGACCTGGACACTAACCAGTACCCTAGAAAAAAGTATTGAAAGATTTGAGAGGAAAATCCTCTGCACGATAACCGGAGCCATCTGGATCTGAGTACTAACACATGGAGAAGAAAGATCAATAAGGAACTGCTTAAAGAAACTGATCAATCAATATCCCATGATATGAAAGCATGGAAGTTAAGATGGGCGGGGCATGTAGCTCGTAGCAATCCATCTGAAAGCCTCTACTTAACAATGAATGCCTCAATAGAAGGCAAAAGAACATGTGGAAGGCCAAAAATCAGATGGATAGATAGAATCAACAAAGATGCAACATAGCTGCGTGCAGATAAATGGAATGAAATAGCTCAAGACAGGCAGAGATGGAGCAGGCTTGTTAAGGTGGCGAAAGATCTACATGATTTGTGATGTCAATGGAAAAAAAAAAATATATATATACACCTGGAATGTTACAGCAACTTTTTCGTCAAAATCGGCTAACCGGAAGTGGCACTTCAAATAATTTTCTATATTTTTACAATCTTCTCGAAAACTGCTTTAACGATTTTGATTAAACTCAGTGTATTAATACATAATTAAATGGTCTTTAATATCAGGTTGGTCTTATTGATGTCGCTTAATAGGGCTTAAATGCCTAATGTTAAAAATTTCTTCCTCTGAATTACCTTTAATTTGGTTAATTGTGAATTATTAACTATATCACTTTTAATTTGATTCATTTTGAATAATTAACTATCTCTCATTGTTAGCAATAATTAAAATGGCTAAATATAAACTATGAAAGATTTTGGTAATTGAGTAAAGGAGAAAAAAAGAAAAATGTTTATTTAGGTCGAAAATCAATTTCCAGAAATAATAAACATTAGGTTTACATATAATATATCGGAAAGATGAGAATTTCAGAAAAAACAATATCTAACAAAGTTCTAGAAGATAATGGAGAGTGAGGAAAAAATTATAAATAATAATTTTTGAAAACTAATATTATTTAATGGAAATTATATGCTTCCAAGCAAATGAAATGAAATTTCCTAACTAAATGTGAACTTTTGAAATTAATTTCATGCTTGAAAAAAGTATATAAAATCCACTAAATCAAGGTAATGACATTGTTTAAAAAACTATTTATTTTATTGTACTTGTGTGAAAGTAGAAGTGAAATATAATACTATTTCATGAATGTGTAAAATATCTGTTTGTTGTAACCTGAAATACATTTACAGTAATTTAATTAGTCTAGATCCAATATTAAATTTAAATAATTAGTTAGTTATCTATTGTCCGTTTATTTCGAAAAATCATCCTGTAACCTTTTAGAAAATTACATTAGTGAATAATTTTATGAATTTTCCCTTTTGTGAAATCCACTTACAATTATTATGACAACTTTTGATCTATCTATGGCAGGCAATGAATATCGTGTAACTCCATTTTAGTAAACTTTACAATAGGAAAATAAGAATTTAATAACTAATAGTAATGCAGTCCATAATCGTTTATTGTTTAAATATACAGATGTACTTTCAAATCTCTCTAGGCATATATAGCTTAGAAACTGGAGCTATGTAGTTTACAAAAACAGATAGAGTCACAGGATTTTTATTGCCTTTCTTCGGTATAATAAATAGGGTTTGTGTTATATTAATGGTATAAATGATTTTTTTTAGCTTTTTTATTTATATATATATAAATAAATTTATTTATATATAAATGATTTAGCTGTAAGGTTTAAGCTTTAGCTTCATTAAAAATGCACTTCAAAAATTTTCGAAGGATGTTAGTTGACTGTTCTACATATCATGGGTGATAAATATTCAGGAATCAGTCATTATAAAGTTTTTCTTAGTGCCGACATTTCAACCCAAACATGTGGGTCATCATCAGGGCGTGGTTCGATCACTGAAGTTATCAAGCACTCACAGTACTTGAAGTATTCAAGCACTCACAGTACTTGAAGTATTCAAGTACTCACAGTACTTGAAGTATTCAAGTACTCACAGTACTTGAAGTATTCAAGTCTGCACAATACTTGAATACCTGCAGTGCTAATAAAATAAAAACTTCAGTGCTAATAAAATGAAAACTTTATAATGACTGCGTTCTGAATATTGACCCAAATGTTTGGGTTGAAATGTCGCCACTAATAAAAAATTTATGTGTCCTGAATATTTATCACCCATTCAAAAATTTTATAATAGCGCAACATTGCTTATAAATAATTCCTATTCAGAGTAGAATGATAAGTGAATGTTATGAGGTGCGTGCACCAGATTTTTTTAATTTTTTACACATCCTGGAATTGCTTGAAGCTTATTTTGCTTTTTCTACAAAAGGAATTAATTGATTGTGTAATTTAGTCAGATAAAGACTTCTAAAAACTTAATCATAAATATTATTATTTCTTACTTGTAAATGATTATTATTTACTTATTAATTGTTTTCTGCCATACAAGCACTCTAGGTTAAGGAAACCCACTATTAGTGGAAACTCCTAATACCAAAAAAAAAATTTATTTTCTAAAATTACTAGCTATCATTTACTAATCAAAGAAGTATCGAATTATGTTGTTACAATTATAAAACTCAGAATTCGATCAAAACAACAGAATTTGATACTTCTTTGTTAAACATATAATATTTTCGAGTTATATACTCGATTATATCGAGTATATAATGTTTTATTTTATTTTGAAATTTTTTGATATTTTCATATTTTTGAATTCTTAACAAATGAAATTAGGTGTTAATTTCTTATAAAAATAATAATTATTGTATATTTTTTTTATTCATTTGTTTCAGGCTAAGAAAAAGGGTTCCTACAAAAGTTCCGGAGAAATAATTGTCGAAAAGTGTGATGTTAGACGTATATACTCTTTCTTGGATTATATAAAAGGTGGAACTCAGATATTTTGTACTTTTGCCATTGATTTCACTGGTATGTATGTTTTTATTTGTATATATGGAAATATGCTTTATTGTAGATATGAGAAATAAATGAGGTTTAATACAATGAGAATATGATTTTCAGTCCCATTTGGCTTAACCAAAAGAATTATTTCAGACTTACTTTTTTCTTTTTAGTATAGTTTTTAGTTTTTTAATTAAAAATTCTTTTCTTGTATACATAAAAATATTTTTTCATTTTGTACATAAAGGTTTTTATATAATTTATTGCTTTATACAAACAATTGGCCCAGTAGCCTCATAGAAAAGCCGTGGATCTGGATGTGTGGATTTTTTTTTTATTTGATTTTTGGATTGTACATATCTTAAAATGTAGTAAATCTCAAATTTTGGGGGTAGGTTAATTTTTTTTTTCTCGGCAAATTACAGTGGTTGATTATTGAGAATAATCAACTAATATGAAAATAAATTAAAAAAACAAACCATTTTTAGCAAAATTATAGTATATTGAATTTTTAAGCTGATTTTAATAATTGTTCATGTTCCTGTTCACATTGCTCTAGTTCATCAAAAAAATTGTACTCTTATCATTTCTCTGACTGGTTTTCAGGAAAATTACTGTAATTCAATTTTTTAATAGATATATTTAAAATTATATGGATTTGTCAAAATTTGGTAGAAAAGTCATCTGAGTGGATGTACCAGATTTTTTAATATACTATTTTATTTTTCATTAGTTTTGCTTTCTCACTAACGAAGGAAGCGAAGCATTATATTCGTGTGAGAGGTCAAAAAAAATGTTTATTCTCAGAATCAAAAATTTTCACTCGCGTTTTACGTTTATGGAGTGGGAGTTAGGTTAAGACAATATTTTTAAGTGGTTATAAAATTTTAGGTTTTATTCAAAAAGTTGCTTTATAATAAAATATGAAATTATACTAATAAATCATAAGGAAATAATTAGTTTTTATGCTCTCCTGTAAAACACTCAGTTTTCACATATAACCTTTTGCACTAACAGTTGTGATATTCATTTTCCATATGCATGGCATTTTTTGTTTTGATAACTTATCATCAAATTTACCATCTACAAATACAGAACTCTTTCACATTTTACTATCCGCTGATGAACAAAACTCGTGGATATGAAACCCCTGTATATGTGGACGGGTTACTAAATTTTTGAAAATGGCTTCTTCCAGATATTTTATTTCCATACGAAAAATTTTAGACCTTGTAATATAATTATTTTTTAGCCAATGAAAACGGTGAGGATACTATACTGACCTACTTGGCAGACATTTTTAAATCAGTTAATATTTATATAATATATTTATAGATTTAAAGTGTGATAGACAATTAAGAGAATGAATATTATAAAGGATAAGTGGACAAGCAAATAAGGGTTTTATTTGAGATAGGGCTTTATTTTAGTATAAAAATAGAAAATAAATTATATAAATAAAATGGTAATAATTGCAAAATAAAATGTTTTTAATGCATTTTTTAAAAAATAGTTTCTTATCTATTGAATAAATGAAATTAAAGATTTAATGTGCAAAAAAACTTTTTAGGCAGATTTGATGATTGACAAATTAGCATAGAACATTGTCTGCTGTGATAAAAAAGATGTTTTAAAAGGGTAAAATGGATTTCACTAATTTTTTTTTTTGTTGCATATATTGCAGTTCAGATGTCAAAAAAATAATTAGTGCTGTTCTTTATTAATTATTAAACTTTTCCTTAGTGTTATAAAATTGAAACCATACTAACAATTTTATATATTTCAATAGCTTACATCTTCAATTCATTTACAAGTTTATTTAAGTATGATATGTAAATAAGCAGTAAAAATTGTCCTTTAAATTCACTTTTACATCAAAAATATTTTCCCTACAACAATTGTAGGATCTATTTTTAATCAGGAATATTTATGACATATATCCACAGAATATGATTGTACTGATTTTATTTTCTCTTTAACAATTAGAAAAAACTTTTTTTTTTTTTTTAAATTGTAGGAATCTTGTAATTCTTAGGTTAAGTAAAGATTCATTCTTTTAAATAGTGGTTGTAAATCTGAGTCCTCGTTCGGCTGTTTACAGTTCTAATGAGCAGCAAAGCTGGTGTTGAGGTTATTTCATCTGAGTTCTGCAGATTATAAGAGCCTTTCGGTTGACAGAATGACTAAATCCAATTTCAACATTTTTTATTATTAATTTTAGTGATATTTCTAGTGGGAAAATGTATACCTTTATTCGCAGTTCTATATTTCAACACTGTAATCACCTACTCTGGAATCAACTTACTCAATGGAATACACTTACTCCGTATAGGTATTATAAAATTTCCAATTAGAAGTATCACTAAAATGACTTTACTCAAAAATGTTAAAATTGGAGTTAATCATTCTGTCAACATAAAGGCTCATATACGAAATAGTAGATACGTGATTTCCAAATATATCTACCCAATATTACATTATTATATTTTAGTTTATTTTTTATTATTAATTATTAGTTGTTTTTATTGTAGGCTCAAACGGAAACCCTTCAAACCCTGATTCATTGCACTTTATTACGGAGTTTGGACAGAATGCCTATGAGCAAGCTATTATCTCTGTTGGTACCATCATAGAAGACTACGATTCGGACAAACAGTTCCCCGTCCTTGGGTTCGGAGCAAAGTTACCTCCTGACGGAAGAGTATCTCATGAATTTTTTGTCAATATGCATCCTACAAATCCTTATTGTGATAGGGTTCATGGTGTTTTACAAGCTTACAGATCATGCTTAAGGTATACAGTTATGTTGTGTCTTAAATCTATATATTTTTAAATTAAGGTCCTGAGTAAAGCTTCTACTTTCCTGTATAATACCAACCATGTTTTCGTTTAATCAGATTTACTTTTTTAACTTTTTAGGGTGATTGGTATCTTGTTACAGATATTTTTTTGAAATTATTGGTAGGAAATAATTTTTTTTTCTGTGTTAATAGATAATTAAAAACTTCAAATTCAATTCAATTGATTTTTTTTTTAACAATAAGTTTAATATTTTATTAGGCAAATCCAATTGTATGGTCCAACCAATTTTGCAAGTGTTATAAAACATGTGATGAAATTTGCTTCAACTTACACTGATGGCTCTTCCTATTTCATTCTACTCATCCTCACCGATGGCGTTATAACCGATATGCCCCAGACATGCAAGGTAAAGTTTAATTTCTACATTCTTATTATATATAAATTGTTCACATAATATGTTCTATTTTGATAGTAAAATTGTATGTATGTTTGCCTATGAATATATCATTTGCTCGTTTCAATTGTAATGAGATAGATTCTGTTGTTGTTTGTTTAACGAGGCCATTTTAAAATTAAATTGATAATCCTTTATTGCTGATTGTAGGCAAAAAGTAGTTCACTCATGTTGTAATTCAACCTCTCGAATATAAATATTTTAAATCATTAACTATAATCTTGGATATGAAAAGTGCTGACCGAACACTTTAACACAAGGGCCTCTAAGTATGACAGATTAATTTCTCACTCGGTTAAGTTAATGTTTATTATCTGGTGATTCTACTTTGTGATTCTTGACTCTATCACTTTATAAGAAAATAGTAGCCATTTCTAAATCAAGAGACCCCAAATTGGATCATGCAGCATTGTGGTGTGCTGCAAACGTATGTCAGGGGTGATGAGCAATATATAATTTCATCATTTAAATAAGAGTCAAATTATGTATTCGGTAAATATATATTCCAAAAATTCACAACTTTCTATTTATTAATAAGAGAATTAATATTAAAATTAATCACAATGGCATGGAGGTGGTTGACCATAGTCAGGGGTGTGGTAAAAAATACTATATTATATAATAGTATTTTTGACCGCACCCCCGACTAACTTCTTCTAAAATTAATCACATTTAAGATAAATTTATTTAGTTCATATGTATATCGTATCCAAAATCGGTAAAGATTCCATTGTATTCCCGCTATAAGGATAAATGTGCTACAATTTTTTTAGACTAACTAGGTGTTATTGCCAAATCAAGTTTGAGAACCGTTGCTCCAGATGGGCAACTGGTTTGATTAAAGAAGCAAATGTTCTTTATTTTCTCTCACTAATAGCTGTATTTCATCTATAGTTTGTACCCTTGATCAATTTCTGATTTATAAATAAATTACTTATCCATAGTATGTATTATAATTGTTGGTTGTTGTTTTATAAAATTACAGGCTATTGTAGAGGCATCTAATCTTCCAATATCTATCATTATTGTTGGGATCGGTAGCGCTGATTTTTCTGCCATGGAAGTATTGGATGGAGATACTGTAGCATTGACCAGTGGTGGTATTCGAGCAAGCAGAGACATCGTACAGTTTGTACCATTTTCAAAAGTTATGGGTTCTCCCAATGCCGGAGCTTTGTTGGCTAGAGAAGTCTTGGCAGAAATACCTACCCAATTCGTAAGCTTCATGAAATCGAGAAACATTGCTCCAAAGCCACCGATCACAAGTGTTACTACATTACCACCTGATCCTTCAATGTACAACTAATTGTTTTCAAATATAAATTTTAGTGAAAACGCTTGTGATTTGAATGCTTTGGAATTTTTCTTTATATCTTATATTTTTCTTCTCAAATTATTACGTGATATATTTATATTATAGAGTTTTAAATTACTTATTGTTATAATTTATATTTATATATTTTATTGTTTATTTTTAAAATCAAAAGTAGTTCTATTATTTTCATCAATTTAAATATAATTCAATACCAACAGTTATATTGGTTTCATGGCTTGTTAAATATTTTAATACAGTGCAATCTCAGAAATCCGAACTAATGTCTACAGGGATTTATTTGAATTAAGAGGCTGTTCGGTAAAAGTACATACAATAAAATATTAAAATTCAATACATACATAAATCTTTATAACTCAATTCACACGTAAATGTTCACTTAAAAATATTGAATTAGTATAGATACATTGTTTTTTTAAGTGAATACTTCTTTAGGCGCATTTTGCACTTTTTTGTGGAGAGTGAATTAGATTGATCTGTCAGATTTCATTTGGCATTAATGCTCGGATAAACTCAGCTAGTCGACTAATTAAAATATTTTTACATATGGATTAAAATATCTCAGAAACTATAAGTCGGGCCTGCATACTGTAAACAAGGAAATTGTTCATCATTTCATCCTCTCTGTAATAGCCGTAATTCAAAATTATATTTTAACGCGACACCGTGTTAGGGTGGCTAAAAGGAAAAAATAGTGTTGAAAACCAAATGATAAAGTTAGTTGAACATATGGATTAAAATATTTCACATACTAAAAATTGAATACTGTAAGCTAGGGAAATGTTCAGCATTTCATCTTCTTTGTAATGAGTTATTATTTATAATTTATATTTCATATTATTAATCTCGCCTTGTTGATGTTTTCACTTATATTGTATGGTCTAAAGCATACACCATTTTTTTTTTTTTTTTTTTTTTTGCCTTAATAGACTGTGGCCCTAATATATCTATTGTGCGCCATTGTGCAGTCCGTTTTATTCTTAAAACATTAGTTTGGTCGCTTCCACGTATCTTAATAGGCTTGTTCGATTGACAGTCTCATAGCTACTGGGGTGATCCATCTGTTCCTCCCCAAATAGTTTCAGTCTAAGCCTTGCAAATCTATCACATCGACAAACGATGTGAAAGGTTGTTTCATTCTCCTCGTGACATAATCTGCATAGTGGGTACGTTATCATTCGGAGATTGAACATGTGATAATTTAACTTACAGTGGCCAGTGTATAAAAATGTTGACACAGAGAGACAGGCAAACAGACCAATGGCTAAAAATGTGTTTTTCGGAACCAGGGGGTTCTAAATCGTATAGATCCGTCAAAAACTGCATATCGGAAATTTGACCTGATTGCAATACTCCTTACCTAGTATAGGTAAGAAAGTAATAAATTAAAATAGAAAAAAGAATATGCTGTATCATCGCTAATACTGGTTCGATTACGAGGATTTTTTGTTTGTTTTGTTGGTAATTTAATTACCTTTCAAAAGTTATATTATAAATTTTACCATAGAATATATACTTAGCGAGTTAGGCCCCAAAACATTTTTTTTTTCTTTATAACTGTTTTTCCTGTATATTCTCGAGAATTTAGACCATATACAAAAATTGAAAGGACAATTATTAGAACATTGTAGGGAAGTTTCATCAAAATTATTATAACAGTTTTTGCGCTACAGTCTATAGAAAAACATGTTTTTCATTTATTGCGCATGGAGCATCCAATTTTTGTCACAGGCATCAGTAGTCAAAACCCTACAAAAAAAAAAAAAAAAGAAGCAACAAAATCGGTTCAGTGGCTCCCAAGAAAATCTTGGCACAGACAGACAGACCTATGGCTAAAAATGTGTTCTTCGAAATCAGCTTGCTCTGAAACGTATAGATTGTAAAAAACCGCATATCGGAAATTTGACTCGATTGCAATACTTTCCTTACCTAGTATAGGTAGGAAAGTAATAATACTACAACCAGTAAATAAAAAGTGTTTTTGTTTTGACTTCAGCAGTATGTTTCTCCCTGTATTTTCTCTTAAACATTGTTGGTAGGAGAAGTATTTGTTGTTACAACAGATCGTTGTTTTTAACAACGTTTATATGCCTACATGAGAAAATTCCTGCAAATTCGATGTTGGTGTTACGTTAAAAAGTTTGTCTTTGGTTCTCTACATCTCATCTTTTCCTGAACAAAACTTTCCATTCACCCTTCCTTTTATTTTTTATTGGAATTGGGTTATTGGGCCTGAGAAGTTAGTATTGCTGAGATTGCACTGTACATTATTTCAAAATCTGAAATAAACATATTGATTGGGTTATTAATTATTAAGGATCTTTTTTGATGACTTGTATGAATCTTTTAGAATTAAAGTTAGCTTATGTGGATTTGTATTAATGAGACTGAAACAGAATAAATTACTTTATGGAAATAGTGGCCATTTAAAAATGTTATATTTGTTAATTATTTATTCGTTATCATTTGTAGAAGTTATTAACTATATAAACTTTATAATAGATGTATGAAAACTTCTACACAATCATTCAGAGCTTAAGTATTGCAAAATATTTGTATGCCATATTACTTATAATTTAGTTAAAATTTTTTTAACTAATATCATAGTTCATTGTACCGTTATTATTGATAAGGCAAGTACTTGTGAAGTTGCTGATAAATTAACTTTGTGCCTCCTCAAAATATTTATTTTTAAATTAGAATATTAAGTTTTCTTTTTAAATTTGTTTTTTAAAATATTAAAATATCTTTTTTTTGTAATATTTTAATAAAATTCAGTTTGTCCTAAATCGTGAATATAATACTCAGTAGCAAGATTAACTATTTTAATATCTTTGATATTGATGCTTAATTTATGGTGATTTAGCTTAATTCATATTGTGTTTTGTTACATTTTTGATATATCTTACTGTTACATCCTTAAGTATAGCCGAATAGCTTAAGAAAGAAAGAAACTCGTGGATGGAGCATAGGCATAGTTGTTACAAAGGAGGTTAAAATGTCCCACCTTTACATAACTTTAGGCAGTTACTTGTTAAATAGCCATAATTTTTTTGTTTATTTAAAAGTTTTCTAATTTTTTTACATTCTTTCAGTTGCATGGAATTATCCGTAACGTGATTGTTATTTTAACCAATCGAAAAATAATAGTTTAAAAATTATGTATTTGTTGTTTCATTTTTTGTCATTAAATCATTGTGAGAAATTAATTATTAATCAGTCGTTTTTCAAGACAATAAAATTTTCTGAAGTAATAAGTTAATATTGATAGATAGCATTTGTTTAACTGCAATCACACCATTTTTTTACTATATTTAAATACAAATATTTTAATTGTTGAATTCGCTTGTTATCTTCACTTGTCAACTTCAGTAGTTTTGAAACTTCCGAAAACAGATAAAATCTGATATGTATCAGTAAAGTTACCCTCTCAAACTAGCTTATGAGAACTAGGTTTTTAATTAAGTTTTTTATCTACTTATGCAGGATTCGTCAAACTTATTCATGCAATCAACCCTCTTATTAATATTTTTATATTATTAGACCCAATTTAAAAAACTTTAATATACCTCATAATTTAATTATAGTGGTTGATAATAAAAAATCGCACATTACATATTAGCATAATATGATTTTTTATTGTTTTTAGTCACTTGCAAAAATATAGTATTATAATTTCAGCAATTTTCAGTGCTATTATTTTCAGCTTAACAAATTATTCCCTGTGATCATCGTATAATTTCAGATGTTGCGTGTTTTAAGCTGTTTTGATTTTGGGATATTGAAATCAAAATTATCTACCTCAATAATTTTGTGTATTAATAATTGCATTACTCATTGTTAAATTAAATTTGAACTATCTGAGATTATTGTTATAGTATTTTCTTGTAAAGGTTTTGCTAATAATAATTGGTGCTTGATGCTCATTTGAGTAAAATCTAAAAAAAAAAATATTAATTTTATTTTTTTAATCCATAAAGTTTATATTAGTTTTATTAACGTAATGTTTCCCCATACTCACTTACTATTAGTAATTTAGCGATTCTGACTGATAAATCACTTTTTATTTTCCTCAACAATATTTACTAACTTAAAACATACAAAAAACTCTCAATTCAATTATTTTTTTATTAAAAACAAATTATAGTAACTATTCCTAATTGTTTCTGTTTATTTCTCAAAAATAAAATGTAAGAAAAACTGTAACTATGCTCTATCAATCCTAAAGAAACAGCCCAGTCTCTGAAAACTTAAAGGCTGGCTTGAATAATATGATATATTTATATTTTTTATTTTAATTATTCTATTTTATAGTAAAAAAATAATTTATTTCTATATATTTGTTTTTATAATATAATTCAAGTTTACTTTATAAAGAATTAATTAGCATACATTTCATTGTTAGTACTACATAATATATTTATATATTTTTTTATGTTCTATTTAATTATTGGTCCACTATTTATTAATATGCATTTATGGATGTATGTCTTTTCACATTAAAGAATAATCTCTCTTATAAGAATCTAATATTTAAATTGTGAATGTTTCTGTATGCCTTATTCAACTGTAATTAATATAAAAGACAACCTCAGTGAATTTATAAAATTTACATATTTATATAATTATTGTATATAGTATTGGTAAAGGACAGTCCTCATTAGACAGTTATCGATATAATGGGAATGCAAAGAGAAAACATATTTTGGTTGACCGAGTTAGATTGTTTTAGATTTATCGCCCTTCCACCAGTCAGTTTTGTCCTTTCCCTAATTAACAGGCACAATTAAGATCGCTGATAATTTAAATATGTTACGTAATGAGAAAGATATAATAGTTCCACTGTATGCAAAAAATGTTTAGTGGTGTCAAATATGTTAAGAAAACAAAGAATTTGATTTCTTACATAAACTACTATTGGAAATAAAGCTATAAAATTTATCGATATGTTACAATACTTTTATCTTACTTACTTTCAATCATTGTTATGTTAGAAGTACTATTAAAACGTTTTCATTTTTGAGTTCAAAGTAGTAGTGCTATAATTTTGTATTTTTAAAGATTTTTGGTACTTTTTAGTGCTAAAATTTAGACTAAAGCGTTGGAACAAAGAAAATAATTTTTTTTTTTGTGGTTTTCACTCAGACTGCAACACCAAACCAGCTGCTACTAAAACTGTCATCATTAAACCATTTATCTGTCGTCTTCCTTATAATACTTTTATCATAATGAAATAAAATATCGATTAATTTGCCTTTGTCATCAACCAGTAGTTTATATAAGGAATGAAAATCTTTTGTTTTCTCAACATATATAATTAACTATAAATTTATTCTTTTTTATTTTGGTATAAATAATTTTAGGTTGTTAATAGTTCTTGCTGCTCAAATAAGGGAAGGGATGGGCAATGACATTCATAACCTAGTACTCGGCTCTATTCTATAATAGAAACTGTCTCTATTATTAATATGGAAGTGATAGCAATTGGTTTTTGAAGTATAAGAGCTCATTGTTCCATTAGGGAATGGAACTCAAAAATATTTACCTTTCTCTTTAGCACTTCTAAAAGAATTTATTAATATTTTAACTTTTTAAAAATAGTTACATTAAATATAAATATTTCAATATTATAATAACTACTCTTACTGTGAAACAATGTACCTGATATTAATTTAGTTGATCAAGTTGTCAGCCTAGATATTTTTGTTATTTGTTTTCATTATTATTGTTTCAATGTTTTTTTTTTAAGATTGTTTAATTATGAAACATTCAAAAGCTCAATTATTCAATTATTTAATATTTTTATGTAATGCTTTAAAAACTATTTTTCTAAAATGTTATTTTCCTTATTTTTTGTTAATTTAAATATTTTAAAAATCAAATCAAACGCTGCCTAATCATAGTTCTAATTTTAATCATAAGATTAATGTTACGATACAATATTGGTTAGAAACGCACATTTTGTGATCTTCATATTTTAAAGAAGAATATGGATTTACGCACATTTAAAATTGCTCTTATTAATTTATATAATTCATTTTGTATTGCATTGCAATCTGTTATTTGCCTATGAATACATGTTATATGTAAATATTATATTTCTATTAACACTTTAATTTTATATTTTTAATGCCTTGTACTTTGATTTTTCATTTTAAGGATTCTTTTTTACTAATATGTATTGTGTATTACAATGAAGTTTCATTTATCCCATCGGAATGAATTAAATATTATTTTCTTTTCAATTTTAAAACATAGACTTATTATTCGACTCAAGTGTGAAACCACGCAACTGTCAAATCCCAAATTTTCAAAGGGTGACAAAATATTTAATTTTGATCAATTTTGGTGTATTTATTATTTAGTTGTCTGTAATCGTTAGTAATCTACTATCAAGTAAAAAAACAAAACAATCGATTTTGTATATTTATGTAAAAAAAAATTTAATCAAACCTTACGAGATTAATTTTCATTGATCATTTCGAAGGTTATCTTAGATGATAAATAATCAGGATTTCAAGTCATAATATGTTTATTATTTATGATAATTATATAATTATGTATATTATAATAAACATATGACTGAAAATGTTTATTATTTATCATTTAAGGTAATCTAAATTAAACCATTTTAGATCTTATAATTTCTCATTTTGTCAAAATATACTCTCAATATATATCTTAATATTATTTTTATATTGAAAATTCTTGTTTTGTTGTTTTTATTTTATTATTGTTTAAAATAGTTTATTCTTAGTTGTAAGTATTATGTTTTATTTTCATATTTTATAATTTTTTTTATATATATATCAATGCTTTAAAATTGCTACATAAAATATCTGCTTCAAAAGTGGTTATACTATTTAATATTAGACGTGTTTCATACTTTTCTATATTTAATATCTCATTATACTAATGTTAAAACTATTTAATATATGCTCTGTTATTCCGGAAATAAGAAATTTTATCATTGAATGGTAATTGCTAACAGAACTTAAATGCCAAAGAAATTATTATGTAAGATGAATATTTGTAAGTCAGTGATATATATATGCTATATTTGTATTATTTTAGGCTTGGAGAAATAATATTTTCCTCTTGCCTTCGCATCATTAATCTTCAAAATAAAGAAGAAGTAAAACTAAAAAAAAATATCTTAACTCATGTGGTTTATTGTATTGTTTATGCGCATGTATTGGTCATTTGATAGATATGTGCTGATATTGTAAGAAGATATATTTAAAAGTTAGTAAATCAAAATTTAATTACATATTCGATTAATGCTATTATAATATTTATTTTTCTTTGTTTTCTTTCCTGTAGTCATCATGGCTATTTTGTGATCAATATTGAACAAAATGAAGAGGGATCTGCCTCCTCGCTTTTTTATCGCGGTTGATAATTGCCTAATAATTGTATGTTTAGATTAAGTATTTACCGAAAATATTTCTTTAATGACGTATTAATATATCACTTGAAATCTAAAGGAGTCTGCACATCTTAAGTTTTAATTTTTATTTATTTATTTTTTAAACCATATCAGAATTGTTTATCTGTGTCTACTTATAGCCTGCTAGGTATTTTAAAAGTTAATGCATGAAATAAGGAGATTATTAAAGCCGTATGATGAAATCTCGATTAGAGTTTTATTTAAATCCAGTATTATTGATAATTATTTTCCTACGATCAGTATTTATAACATCAGCACATAATTTGATTATATAAAAACAATTCCAAGTTAACATGTTAAGATATTGGGGCCATATTATCTAGTTTTTAACTTGATCTGTAACATATTTCATCTTCTGAGTGTATAAATATCCTACAATTTTTATATTTACATTTCTAACTATTCTGAATAAATATTTCTAAGCTTTTAATGTGTTTTTATACTGCCTTTTTAATCTATTAAAAAAAAAAACCAACAATTTTTTTTTATTCTAAGATTAAATGAAATTATTGTTGATTATAACTATTATGCAATGTACAAATCATAATTCAATGCACAAAAGGTACTAAATCTGCATATTTGAGAACAAAACCTGTTTTTTTCCTTATGATTTCATACAATGAATAATAATTGTATATCTTTGTTTTATTCTTGATTCTACATTTGATATAATTTTTGATGAGTTTTAAATCATTGGCGTAACCTACACTTTCAAATTGTCAAAATAATGAGGTATATAGACCAAACGGCCCAATATTTTTGCAGGCTAATTTTTTTATTGATTTTGTGACCAAATAATCATATGATCCATTCGGAAAGTAAATGGATATTTACGAGTTTGTAGTTTCTAATTAAATAGACAATGTTTGCCGACCTCCAGATCGAGGAATGCCCAAATTCCTAGAATTTTTGATAATAAAATATTTGTGGGTTAAGATGAGATGGAGATATTTATGAAGTTTCAGGCGGATGTTAATCATTTCATAAAAAGGGTTCTTTATCATGGACTATTATATCTTTTTTTTTAACATGGTTTTCTTAAATCATCAGTTTTTAAGTTGTGCCCCTTATATTTTGGATTTGTGACATACTGATTTGTTCGATATAAGTAATAATAATGTTTAGATACTTTAAAAAAATTAAATATGAACGTTAAACCATTTAAAGTTAAATACTTCATGGTAAAACTTTTTTTTCCCCTCAGATCCTTAGTTGTAGGTACAAAAAAAAAATCATAATACATACCAAGAGTTGAAATAACTCCTAACAAAATTCGAAAGTGATTGTTGGAATGGAATTTATGGAAGTTTTTCTCGTGTTACCATATAGTAATATAGGGATTGCATCTCCCAAACATTAACAAATAAAATGAAAGAGGGAAGAGCTTCCACGTCTATAGACATGGCCACCTTCCATGAGATGTATATATTTGTGTGTTTCTGTGAGCTAATATATTAGGTCGTTTCATACGAAATGGCTGTTTTCACAGGATAAATTATAACAACTTTATGAAATCAAAACATTTACTCTCATTTTCTATACATTTTCCCAACGTGTTATCAACTTTTTAATCCTAGAACTGAAAAATTCAGGGGTTTTGTGAAGAAATTATCGGCACCATGTTAAAATGGCGAATGAATAACATTGGAGAAGTTAACATTCATTACTTAAATGTGGTGCCGACAAAATTAAGTCAGAAAATAGATTTTGACTTGAGAATAATTTTCAAAAATTTTACCTTTCAAGAAGTTGACCAAATTTCTGAAAATATGTAAACCTGTTGGAGATAAAGTAGGTGATACAAGACTTGGTAACTGCTCGTTTGGGCTCTTCACTATCTTTTGTGAAACTTAAGATATGGTGTGTTGTAAGAGTATAGGTCCCTTCCGATTAACCAATGCAGATTGATTTTTGATAAGTTTTTGTTGCATTATGTCAATATCACTGCAGTATATTGTTGATGTGGTGGTTTCACCTCTGGATGAAAAGAAATAAATTATTTCTGTATTTACCACCTCACAGAAATCAATTTTTTTTTTTATGACAATATTTTTCAAACCACTGGCGAATGGTTCATTCATCACAACACTCATCTCCAAATGCCGTTATAATATTTCTTGCAGCTAGGTCTGCTCTGTGTCCAAGTTCAAAAATAAAAAATCTGGTGCACGCATCATACAATTTTCACTTACTGCTCTACTTGAAAAGTAAAATTGAGCTATTACAAGAAGTTTTCAAAGTGCATTTTTAATCAGGCTAATTATTAAACAGCATATTTTTGAATATCGGTCATATTCATCAATACAAAAACTCATTAAGACCGCCACAAAAACATAAACCCTATTTATAAAATCGATTGTAGCTTATAAAGACCTTATAACAGGATCAGTCTATTTAAATCACATAACTCCAGTCTCTGATCTCTATAGACTAAGAGAAATTTGAAGGTACATGTATTTAATTATGAATAAGTAAGGATCATATTACATAGTAAAAATTATAGTCACTAAATCTCTACCACTTTTTACTTGTATTATAATTTTTTTTTTTACCCTTGGAAAACATATCAAAATACAGTTAGTTGCTCTTAAATACAGCATGCATAAGTCAAAAGTCAAGTGGTCACACTAATTGTAAGTATTTGTTGTGATTTCACAAAGGGAATTTTTTTGGAATAAATCGACGATGTATACCTAATTGTTTTAACATAATATCAGATCTAGAGTTATTAAACTACAATAAATGTATATGAGATTATAAACATATTATTATACATCCATGAAACATTTTTGTATTTCACTTCTTCTTTCACTAGTATAATGGAATAGTTTTTTGAACAATGTCATTAGCTTGATTCGGTGGCTTTTAAATACTTTATTTCAAAAATAAATATTTTTTAAATTTTATATTTTGTAAGTAAATTTCATTTAATTTCCTTGAAAACATGTGATTTCCGTTCAACAATATTAGTTTTAACAAATTATTATCTATAATTTTTCGTCACTCTCCATTACTTTCTACGACTTTCTATGTTAGGTATTGTTTTTTTTCTAAAATTCTCTGCTTTCCGATGATGTATTAAATTAAATTAAATGTAATATATGTATAACTTCTGACTAGTCTTTCCAGAGATTCGTTTTCGACTTAAATAATAATTTTCCATTTTTTTCCACATTTTCCAATTATCAAATTCTTTCATACTTTATATTTAGCCATTTTTTATAATTACAATCAATAAGAGAGAGTTATTTATTTTTTAAATAAACCAAATTAAAGATACTTTAGAGGAAGACGTATATGAACATTAAGCATTTGAGCTCCGTAAAGTGATATCAATGTGGATAAGAGCTAGCTGATATTAAAAACAACTTAATAATATACTGATATTCTGAGTTTAATTAAAATTAAGTTGGTATAAAATGCAACTTCCGGTTAGCCAATTTTTAGGAAAAAGTTACTGTAACATCGCAGGGCTATACTTAACTGAAATATGTATTTTCAGTTTCGTACGACTTTTCGTTTTTAAGCTAGACCGTTCACACACTCACAGACAATTTTGTAGGGTTTGAAGTTATTTGGACTATGGGGACCTCAAAACGTTTATTTCCGTTGAAACTCAGATTCGAAAATTTTCACGATCGTTATACTTTCCCTTAATATTTATTTCATATGTAGGTAAGTGAATGTAAAAAAATACTCGAAAATCGAGTTTTTCCATTGTCATATTTGATGGCATACTAAACAATGTAAAATCAATTGGAATACTAGTAAATATTATTAAACAGGAGAGAATTTTTACTGGGTCTGTTATCATGGTTTACTTCAAGTGGGGGAAGTGTAGATCAAGGGTGCCCATATCTACACTTTTTTCTATACATACGTAATTATATTTATAATAATTTTATTGTCGATAATTAATTTCTTGATTTCAGTCGAGCGTTTAGACATATTTAAAAAACAAAATTACAATTATTGAAGGCGCATTAAAAAAACAATCTAAAGCTGATGCAACAATTTGAAGGTATGATGGCTGAATAGACAATGCTGTTTTGGATAGATAATAGATAGGGATCGATCTTGCGGGAATCAATTTAAAACCGTAGTCATATTAAATAGCCTCCCGGCCTAGGGCTAACAGGTAGCTAATGAACTAGAAAAGATAATGACAAGGAGGAAGAAATATTCATGGCCTTTCATTATTTTTTTCCTAGGCACAATTTTTTTTTAATGATGTTTCTTTTTTTTATTTGGCAATTGTTTACAGCCATCTATTCTGAATCTCGATAACGTACTCGTACGTGGTTCAAACATCATTAAAAATCAGAATCATAAAATGAATACGTACCTGTATGTTTTAACACTTTTTCAAAAACTAATTGTTCGAAATAGGTGTAACTTCAGCGAAATAAGTCACGTTTTTCCGCCGAACTAGTGCCCGTGGTACAGACCCCGTTTTATCAAATTATCAACATCCGGCTGAAGCTTCATAAATAGCTTCACCAACAGGCCAATCTAAAGAAGGAGACCAACCACCTCGAAATGGTAAAAGATAACCATATTTTACGGAAAAAAATATTAAAAACTATCTCTTAAAGTATTCTTGTTCGTGTAACTACATTCACTAGGACTTCAAGAACAACTTGAATACCATTTCAAATAGGTAATTAATTAATTTCTTTTTTTTCAAATTATTTATCTTTATATATATATATGAAAAAAATGTTTCGGGCTGAAGCGCCACGCCAAAAAATAAATCCTGGATCCGCTATTGGCTTCACCTCATCGTAACCTACAAATATTTTCGAAAATTCCCGGAATTTGGGCGTTTTTAATCTGGAGGTCGGCAAACTTTCTCTATTTAATTAGGTACTATAAACTCTTAAACGCCCGTTTGCTTTCCACTTGAATCGTAAGATAATTTGGTCACAAAATCGATAAAAAAAAAGGTGGCCTAAAAAAACATTTGGCCGTTTGGCCTATATAACCTCGTTATTTTGACAATTTGAAGGTGTACGTCACGCCAAACGGCTCAATGTCTTAGAAGGCCACCTCTTTTCTCGACTTTGTGTTCAAGTCATCTAACGATTCAAAGGGAAAGCAAATGGGTATTTCCAATTCCGAGAATTTTCGTAAATAAAATATTTGTAGGTTACAATGAGATGAAGCTATTTACGAAGTTTGAGCCGGATATTAATAATTTGATAAAAAGTGATCTGTAACACGGACAAATACTCTATGGTGACAGAATATCGTAGTACATAATTTTCCAAACAAATAGACGTAAATCTCAAATAAATTGATAAGAAATTAAAGATTATTAAACAAGGAACGTTTTGTAAAAGTGGGGTATCTATAATATAGTTGTAGGGTGATAAAAAAATATCTAGAATAATCCAAGATGTAATGAAAAACACAACTTTAGTTTGGACGCTCAAAAT